GATTAGAGTTCTCTTCAGTCTGACTTCTCATTGAAGCGATGTACATCGCGTTCAGTTCTCTGACCTATTGCATTTTCGAAACTAAGCATTGAATCTGTTAATGTGTCCACACCCAGCATGATTCATCTATTGAGACCATTAACCAAAAATGCTTGGCCCCAGATTGTTGGTGGGCTGCCCACTAACCTCCAAATAATGCGCTCTGGACGTATCCTCAATTGTTTGTCCGTGCTACTGTTGAGTTCCATCTCCATGTTGAAAATTGATTCCACGAAGTTCTCAAGGATGAAGGTGTGTACCCTAGGCAACGAAGGAATAGATAGGCGCCCTGCAGTTCATGTTGGTGTTAGGATAATAGGTAGCAAGATCATCATGCGATGTAGACTTCTACACTATATAATTCAAATATTCGCTGTAGGTGCGTGTTCATCCTTTTCCTCAAATCGGGCGTGTCACTATTGATGAGAGGGCCAGGATTCAGAATCCCGAGTTTGACTGTGTGTCTTCGCTTATACTGTCTAGGGGAGAGTGGGTCTTTCGTCCAAGGGTTGCCCGTGAGGGTGAGGGGATTTGGGTCATGTTTGGAGCGAGAAGGCCGGCAGTGGAAAGGAACGAGAGTGGAAACAGACACAGATATCCTGGCGATGTTGTGATTTGTGAGGATGCTGAGTATACCAGGCACGATGCTTTCTCGCCTATTAAGTATGGACAATTGGTGGAGGATGTGAACTTGGAAAAACTCCGGCGCGCGAGATCTGGCTTGTATAGTAACAGTTTGCGACATCAGTCTAATAGTCCCTGAACTCAGGCCAGTGTTGTGTGACGCGCTCTGGCACATTGATCGTAGGCATCTCCTCCGCTGTCAAAGTGACAGTGTTATCCAGCGTGCTTTCAATCTTTATTACCAGGCTACGAGAGGACTGAGGTATATCGTAGCGTATCAGTTGGTCTCTCGGCATCTTTTCGTTCGCGAACCACTTGGATATGGAAGCTGTGGTCGGCTCCTCGTCCAGAATCCACCGATAAGTTTTGTCCACAGTCGGTCCATATTCTAGACGGTCTACGAGACCGAATGAAGCACGATCTATGGCGTCAAGCTGTATATGAGACCATCCTAACGCATACAGAGTAAAGCGAAAGGTTGTGGTAGCTTCAGTGACAGTCCCGTCAGGGGACTTGGCATCGTAATTGAGTCCGTAGCGCAGGTTCAACTGGAACGAATCCCAACGCGAATCGCCAGAGACAAAGAATAGCCGGTCTTCTTCATCCCATCGGTCAGCTGGCCACATCCTGGCTAACTGAACTTCCCGTGGTAGCTTGATGCGCACAGGGAATTCTCTCATGAAATTTAACAGCCTTTGTGCATGTTGGAACCTTACCGATGGATCCAACCAATCCGAGAATCTTGGTATTGCCGGTATGGCAGTAAGGAGGTATCGTTCAACAGATCGTCGCTCGTGAAAGGCGCCAGTAGCATACTCTAGAAGATCATACGGTCCCTCTCTCAGGTACATTTCTGGACCAACTTTGCGCAGTCTTAGTGCCAAGTGCTTTCCCGTTTCGATTGAAAAGCTGTTCAACTGCATAACACAGCCGTAGTCTTGAGCCCAAAGGTTGCGCAAACGCGTTTTGATGCCGACGTTGGTAAATGAGAACTCGTGAGCTTCCCTCCCATACATACGTTGCACGATGTGACCATTGATAAAGTCTTTTGGCGAATGCGCGAGAACACCGGTAAGCGTCCATCTGTCAACCCCTGGAGGCCGTATGCATTGCCAAGCAAATATACTGAGATCGGCTTTCGAACGAATAATCTCCTCTTGTAGTCGCTGGAAAGCCTTTTCAGCCTCGCCGTACAGCAGTGGGAGATTGACGCCAAAGATTCCAAGGAGACAGTACGCTATATCCTCAGTCCGCGTAGTCTTTCTCTTTGCCGCCCAAGACATCCTTGTTGCCACTGACACCAGGTCCAATGACCGATTATGCAGTAGGATCTCTACACCAATGCCAGTGATGGTCGACAAATTATCGACAAGATCCGTTTTGAGACCGACGTAGTTCCATCTGGCGTTATAAAATTGAATGTCGCGTGGAGCAATCAGTTCTTGGAGAGTCCAACCACGCGTGAACCTAGTATGCTCAGTACGCAAAGCGTAGATGGAGTGATTGGGCGTACCAGCGGCATTTCGGTAAATCGACACTTATCGCTGTAGCAGAAACCAAGTCCTCCAGATGGACATAACAGACTTTTGCATCTTTGTACCATCGATACATGGAATTGATCGCTTCCGTAAGCTCAGCGCTGCTGCTTTTGTCAATGCAGCAGGTATCGATCCAACAATGCGTAATACCAGCTTCTTTCGCGATTTCACACGTCTTGACAATCTTCCTGTAGCCTCTCATGGAGGCATCACGGGTTTCAACGTAGTCCCTATACGACACCTCCTCATTGCCCCACGTGTGAGAGAGAATCGCGTATGGGGGGATCGACGCGCCTATGAACTCTTGAAACTTCCGAGTCCTTGTGTTGATAAGACGCATGTTGTATGTCGGAGGCGGAGATCTGGAAAGCGGGGAAAGAGGATGTGCCAGTATCTCAGCCTGACGGGTAGAGGAGCTGAAGATGCATGTCGCTTAGCTCAGCCCGGGCATGCATCCTCAGATAGGTAAGACGCATCCTTCTTTGCTGTTAAGCCTATCCATAATATCTACGTGATGATAAGTTTGAGATCGCGATGGGTCTTGTATCGCAGATGACTGTAGTTCGTGGTGTGAGTGAATGGCAAAGTCACACGTTCACAGACGCGTTCGCAGAACCGTTAGCTTGTTCCGTCGTTAGCGCCAACGACGTCATGGTAATTCGCGTCTGGCGTGACGACGGCTCCACTTTCACAAGCTTCGAGACGCGCATCTCTCCCCGTCAAACCTCTGCCGAGTGATGCTTGTCGCTTAGCAAACATGGCATCTGCGAGCGATGTTCTTACCCTCATTAGCTCTTTGACACTGCGTCTGAGCATATGGATCTTTCTGCGATGGGTATGTATGAGAGAATGACTGCTTGATGCATGTAGCTAACCGTTCTGCAGATACCCACAACGATCGTACCTGCACTTGCGACCGCACTCACGCTCGTCTACATCCCCTCCTTCTTCACCAGCTTCCAGGACACGGCGCAATACAAGATCATATCCGATGAACTTGATATCATCGTGAAGGAAACTGTTGGTGGACGCGGTGATGACTCCGGCGAAGAAGTACAGCTTATCGACGGTGCAGATGATGGGCCGCTGAAAGAGCTTGACGTCCAAGAGACTGTCCAATATGAAGAAAGAGAGCCCAAGGTGCTGCGTACACTGCTCACTGGGCTCCCAAGCCCTTCATCAGCCATGTGGAGCTGGATCACCTTTGGCATCAACATGGCTCTGATTGCCATGGCCTTAGACGTTGTCTATCGCGCTCCGTTACTCCACCAATGCCACGATGCGAGCTTTGCACGCGTCGGCTACGTGTCGGAAAACAGCGCAAAGATCCTAGTGCGAGAGCCGTACGCCTTTGACGTGAAGGTCCTCTATCGCTCCATCGATGGAACCGAACGATCGTGGATGCACAAGACCCACCGCGCCAGCCAACCCGAGTATTGGCTCACCAACGAGACCGACTTCACGACCGTCATGAACATCGAACACCTGCGACCCGATCTGCCTTACGAGTACATCGTCGAGACTTCGCGGGGAAACATATCAGGCACCTTCACGACCGCGCCGAAACCGGGGCGCATATCGATGCTTAAGGACAACAAATACACTTTCGTGCACTCGAGCTGCATCAAGCCTCGCGTCCCGTACACGCCCTTCCAGCACCCTCTCGAATTCCCCGGCATGAAACACCTAGCGCGCTGGCTACCAGAGCTTAAGCCCTACTTCATGCTGTTTCTCGGCGACTTCATTTACGTCGACGTGCCACATCGTCAGGGTAGCGATGTAGAGACCTACAGACGCGAGTACCGACAGGTCTACTCTTCGCCATCATGGCCGGCAGTGAGCGAGAACCTGCCATGGATCCACGTCATTGACGATCATGAGATTCACAATGACTGGAACAGCAACATGACGGGTGTAGCAGTCCCAGCCTACGACGCCTTCACGCACTACAACGCCGCGCCCAACCCTCCTCCTCATCGCGCAGGTGTCACTTACTTCTCTTTCACACAAGGCCCAGCAGAGTTCTTCCTCCTCGACACGCGACGATACCGTACCCCCGCGAGCAAAGACGCTTCTGACCCCACGAAAACCATGCTCGGTGCCCAGCAGCTCTCCGATCTTCTGGACTGGATACATAAACTACCACCTCCGGGTGTTCACTGGAAGTTCATTGTCACGGGTACACCCTTCACAAAGAACTGGCAATTCGGGTCGGAAGACACATGGGGCGGGCATCTGTATGAGCGCAGACGTATCCTGGAAGCTGCCTGGGACCTCTCTTCCGCGCACGATATCGGCGTCGTAGTCCTTAGCGGTGACCGTCACGAATTCGCCGCTACGTCTTTTCCACCACCGAAGGATGGCAAGTGGCCTACGAGCGCTACGGTACATGAGTTCAGCACCAGCCCGCTGAGCATGTTCTACCTGCCCTTCAGAACATACAAAGAGACAGATGACGAGGACGTATGCCTCAAGTACCTTCCTGACGGTAACAGCAAATTTGGTGCTGTGGAGGTTACCACACCTGAACACGGAGAGCAGAGCTTTGTCAACTACAGGCTGTTCATCGACGGAAACGAGGCTTGGACGCACAGCATCAGCACACCACCAGGGAGGAGTGGTAGCCATAGGGCGAAGGATGCCGTGTGGGGATAGTGGGTGCTTGGAAATGGCAGAGTCGAAGGTGTTTTCGTTAGTTTTAGCCACATGTCTTTTTCCAGAAATGAGGAACAGAGCTCCTGTTTTGAAGAATAGTTTTCGTAATCTGGGTATCTTCCATTGATATCATATGGTCCCATTTCAACCCCACTTCCTCTTCGCTTTCTCCTCGTCTTCCTTGGTCCACTCCCGTGGTAGTACGGCGAAGACAAGATATGAGGTATGCGTCTTAAGTTCCGGCTCAGTCCTGTGCACCAGCCTGCCCTCCTTGAACAGTGTCCGGCTCTCCATGTCCTTCTTCGACTGAGCAAGCCTGTCATGCTTGCTCGGCGGTACGCCTTCCATCTTCTTCTTCTTGCCCTGGCCCATACCGTCTTTATCCACATTCTCCCCGCGTTTCCGCGCCTCAGCCTTTCGCATGACCTCTTCCTGCTTCTCGCGCTGCATGCTGTGGAATACTGCCGCACGGCCTTCCACGTCCCTGAGTCTTTGTACCGCTTCCTGGACGTTTGCGGGATGCGCGTTACCACCACGAACACCTTCTTCTTGTAATCCGACGCGCTCACGACGTACATCGAGGCGCTTTGCGTTGATCTCTACCATGTCTATTTCCACCCAGCCGAGTGTGCGGAGGGCTGAGACGGTCTTTGTGACTTGTTCGATGCAGGGCGAGAACGTGCAGATACGGACTGCGTTGCGCGGGTTGAGGGGGCTGCGGAAGGGTTTCGAGGAGGAAGTAGTCGGCGGTGCGGCGTCGGTTGCGGGTTCGTCTGGCGTGGATGGGTCTGAAGCGACGGACTTCAATGCGGCGGAGGAGGGAGGGGAGCGCGTGAGGTGCTTGAGGGCGTGCCATGGCGCTGGCAGATCGAGGAATACGCAGTCGGCGTCTGGGCCTGTCGAATCTTCGAGATTGAAACCGTCGTTGTATACGTCGCGATGTGTTACTGTGACCAGAGGATCCAGACCATGATCCTTGATCTCGAGCTGTAGCTGCTCTGCGCGCGGTTGGTGGTACTCAAAGCTGTATACGCCGCCAGTCCGTGTCTTGCGCTTCCTCTTCTTGGATGTACCCACTGCATTCTCCTCGTCGCCGTTTGTCTCGGGCTCTGTAGCTTGTGTCCCCGGGTAGCCATTGTAGACGGCTCGTACCGATGCATGCGTAAAGCTTCCGCTGCCTGCGCCGGCCTCGATTATGTGATCGCCCGGTCTTGCGCGCAGTCTCTGCAAGATGTAACTATAGTCGGGCGTGTATACGACTTGGGTGCGGTGCGGTAACGAAATCGTCCACATTTCTGGCGTAGGTGGTATGAGATGCGCAAAACCACTACTCGCTGCGGCAGCCTTTACGATGTCCTTCTTCGCCGCATCCGGCTCGGCGACTGGTGTGCCCTCTCCTTCATCTTTGGTGTCTCTCTTGCGCTTCTTGTTCTTTCCGCGCGACCCGGTGTCAACGAGTGACGCAAGGATTTGCGTACCCCAGGGCTGACCGACGAGTGTACTATGTGGGAAAGAACCGAATCGCGTGTTCTCAACCTTGCCTTCAGGATAGTCGGAATCGGCCTCGGGTCTCAAGACGGCAGGAATAAGTTGATCGCGGCGCAATTGCAATATACCGAGATTATCTGCTGTCGCGCAAGTCCCCGGGTCAAGGAACGGGGAAGGTGTCGTCGCCATGGGTGTAGGAAGTCGCGACAGACCAAAGATGTGGAGATGATGCGATCGCGACTCGGAGCTCTAGAGAACAAAAAGATATTCAGCGGGGAGCTTTCGAAGACGCTATTGGAGGGGAACGCCAAGCCCTCACTGACAGGGATTCTTATTGCTCACCCATAGACCACCAACAGAACGTGACGAGAACATCACTTACTGACTCACCGTAAGCGGCTCCCGGACTTACACCTGGCCTGACTACTAGCACCGATCCCCGTCACTCCTTACATTCCCGTTTCCCGCCACATTGATGGTACTTGCTTTCCGGTCTTTGTCCCGCACCGTCAAATCGCCTTCCCCACTTCTACTTTCGAAAACCAACTGCACTTGGATACACCGGAGTCAGATATCGCCAAGATTAGCAGCCAACATGGCGACACCGGCGCGCACCCAACCTCCATGGAAGGAACCCAAAGGTTCAAGCCCAGCAAAATTGAAAGTCTGGAACTCTTTGACGAGATCAAAAAATGACTTCGTACCCATCGACCCTGAAGGCAAAGAAGTCAAGTGGTACAGCTGCGGTCCTACCGTCTACGACGATGCACACTTGGGTCATGCTCGGAATTACGTCACAAACGACATTCTGCGGAGAATCCTGGCCCACTACTACGGTTACAGGCTGAAGTTCGTTCAGAACATCACAGACGTAGACGACAAGATCATCCTGCGCGGGCGCCAACAATATCTTCTTGCCAAGTTCAAGGCCGATAACCCAACTGTAACGGATGAAGTTGTCAACACCACCATTAAAGCTTTCGACGCATATGTCAAGAAGAACCTCCCTCTACTCAATGAGGATGTCAACATCGGCAGCTTCAACAGCGATTCTGCGGAGAAGTATGCCAATGTCATCCAGGGCAAGTCCGTCGACGGTGTCGGTCCACCAGGCGACAAGGAAGCGAAGATCAAAATGCACCTCCGGACGGCCAGCACAGCAGTCACGTCGTTGCTGGCTCCATCGAAGTCGACCCCTGAGGACGTGGAGATTTTCTATGCTGGCGCTGAGGACGTACTGTTACCTTACCTCGACTCACTATATGGTTCAACTATTGATGCCAGCGACCACTCGGTTTTCACAACACTCACCAAGAAGTACGAAGCGCGCTTCAACGAAGACATGCGAGCACTCAACGTCCTCGATCCGGATGTCGTCACTCGCGTGACTGAGTACGGTGATGATATCGTAGCTTTTGTGGACAAGATTATCAAGAACGGCATGGCATACAGCACATCGGATGGATCTGTTTACTTCGATATTGAGAGTTTCGAGAAGAGAAAGGGGAACCACTACGCACGCTTGGAGCCATGGAACAGAGGTGACACCAATCTGCAAGCAGATGGCGAAGGTGCCCTGTCAACAGTCAAGACCTCGGAAAAGCGCAACGACTCTGACTTCGCGCTCTGGAAGTCATCGAAACCGGGAGAACCAGCATGGAAGAGCCCATGGGGTCCGGGTCGGCCAGGTTGGCATATCGAATGCTCAGTCATGGCTTCGGCCGTTCTAGGCGAACAGATGGACATACACAGTGGAGGTATCGATCTCTGCTTCCCGCATCACGACAACGAACTAGCACAGTCAGAAGCCTACTGGCAAAAGGAAGGTGGTGCGCAGTGGGTGAACTACTTCCTTCATATGGGTCATCTGTCTATATCAGGATCCAAGATGTCAAAGAGCTTGAAGAACTTCACCACAATCCGCGAAGCCCTGAGTCGCGGTGATTGGAATGCACGGAGTTTGCGCATCATCTTCCTTCTCGGAGGCTGGCACGACGGTATCGAAATCACACCAGACATGCGAAAGTCGGGTTCATCATGGGAGAGCTATGTCACCAACTTCTTCTACAAAGTTCGGGATCTTGAAGTACATCCAAACATCAGTTCGACCGGTGCTGAAGACGAGAAGGTGAAACAGTCTCTCGAATCTGCGAAGGAGAAAGTACACAGGTAAGACACGAGAAGATGGATATCGAAACTTTTACTAATGTAGCATCAGTGCGCTAGCCGACTCGTTCGACACACCTACCGCTATGCGTGCGATTTCCAGCCTCATCACCGAATACAACTCAGCCGACAAGGCTGGACTGTCTGACGATGTCTCATTCGACGTCGCTCGCTACATCACTCGCATGGTCCGGATATTCGGCCTTGACGGTTCAGCTGACCCTTGGGATGGTGGCATCGGCTGGGCTGGCATTGACATTCCTTCAGCCGCCAAGGAGCACGTATACGCTGTTTCACGTGAGCGCGATCAAGTAAGGCAGCATGCCATCGCCGGTGATCTCAACGAGAACCTAGATTCTATCATCGCCCAGCACAACCCCGCGAAGCAACAAGACATAGAAGCAGTCCCATACGCCGAAGTCCTTTCTACTTTCCAACAGTCTCTACAAGACCTTGCGAAGAAGCAAGCGCCCGCGAAAGACTACCTCGACCTGTGCGACCAGCTCCGCGACACGCACCTGTGGGATCTCGGTATCTACCTCGAAGACCGCGAGAACGCGCCCGCCATGGTCCGCCCCGTCGACGCCGAACTGCAAGCCGCTCGTTCACAGAAAGAGGAAATTGCTCGCCAAAAGGCTGAAGCTAAGCTGAAGCGTGAACGCGAGGAGGCGGAGAAGAAGGCTAAGCTTGCGGAACAAGCTAAGATCAACCCCAAGGATATGTTCCGGACTGAGGAGTATAGTGCGTGGGATGAGGATGGTCTGCCGACCAAGGATAAGGATGGCGCTGATGTAGCTAAAGGGAGGGTGAAGAAGCTTAAGAAGGAGTGGGAGAAGCAGAAGAAGTTGTTTGAGGAGCATATGAAGGCTTGAACTGATAGTATTTGAAGCACGTGGGGCCTGTAAAACATGGGCTCGCGAAGCATTTGAGGCATGTTGAGCCTTTGATATGTTCAGCATAGTTCTAGCATCTCCTAAGTCAATTGAAGTTAGTAGACCCAACGAAAACCACCAAGACAGCACAATAGGCTGCGGCAGCGGCAAACAACTCATGCCTCTTCGCCTTCGTGAGCAGCGACATAGCTGCAGCAAACAGCAGCGTGAAAACCATCAAAATACCGATAGCCGCAAATACGCATTCCGTCGTCTTGATAGTCGAGAGACGATACATCGCCAATACCGGAGCTACCAGTAGCAAGAAAAGCGCAATAGTAATGAAGAGATTGACCAGCGTCGACACCCTCGAAGGAGCAAAGTAGTAATTCCTCTCATCCGTGGATTTACGCCTCTGATCCTCGGTCCGGAAGAGCCACTACGGGATGTAAGTAAAGCCCGGAGACCTGAGATATATTATACTCACTTGAACAAGTGGGCCATCCATCTTATGCAACATCGCTTCGACCATACCGTCGAAACCCGCCCACTCCCTCCCATGTCTGAGCGTCACGATGTCCTCTTTCCAGAGTATGTAATCTTGCTCCTCGTCTACGAGGGGCGCAATATTGTGGAACCAGTTTCTCACGCTTCGGTAGTCACGTTCGGTTGGTCGTTGGAAAGAGACGAGCTCTCTTGCTTTGATCAGTAGCTCGTCGTATTGGTTCACTTTGATTCTTAGTTCCTCTAGAATGTCTTCTCGCGTCCGAGTTTCGTCTTCGTCTCCTTCTTCCTTTGCTTCTTCTTTCTCTTGTTTGCAGGCTGCGACGTCGAGATCCCAGGATCGCAGGCGCTTCTTGTAGGCCTCGGGAAGGGTGTCGTGGAAGCGGTCAATGTTGTCTAGCTCGGCTTCGAGCATCTGAATGCTGCATTGGAGGCTTAAGAGGAGACGTGCGTGGACGTTGCTGAAGCCGCGGTAGAGCATGAAGTTTTGTTCACTTGAATTGTAGGCTGCGAGTCGTGCGTAGCCGTTCGGACATTTTTCGAGTGTTCGTACTTTGGTTGGATATGGCCCTGACCCACCGGGTGAGAAGATAGGCCCATCTTCGTTTTCACCATCTTCGTCCTCGCCAAGGGGAGACTCAGGCTTCGCCTGCTGTTCTACATCTGCTGGCTTTTTTCTTGGTAGCAATAGTCCGAAGCTGTTCGCTACTTGTCGCAGTGAGTTTAGAGTTGTGCTGGAACGAAAAGTGGATGATGAAGATGCGTTAGAGTACCGTGTACAGGGGCTGGAGAACTCCTTCTCCGTCGGCGATGCGGGGGGAGGACTCATGATGGAAGGGGTCTGAACATGAAGAAATTATCAGACGATGGAAGATATGAGAGGCGTCTCTAGCAGATAGGAATAGTTGACATCCTCAGCTGGGAACTAAATACTGATATGCATCTTGACCGGTCAAGCCTCGTTATACTGATTGGTCCAGGTGTCTCATTTAATCACGTAGACATCGGCCTGAGGAAACCACTTCCCGTTCATGTAGAGCTTCGTGGTATCGTCCTTCGTCTCAGTAAGTTGGTACTCTGTCTTTCCTTTCGCGTTCTTCTGGCTAAACGCGACATAAAGCTTCTTCCTCTTCAGCTTGTTGTTGATGGTTTCTGTGATCTGGATGTTGTTTCCGGGAACGTATTTTGCGACGGTCTGCGACCAATCAGCGTCTAGACTTACCCTCGACAGGGGAGTGCATGGCGCTTACTTCAGCCCCCAACCCTTTCTCTGTCCCTGCACGATCCCTCGCAACCTTTTCCGTCTGCCCATAGTTAGTGCGCAACACACAAGGAACTGGTAGATAGGGCCATACCTGTTGTTGGTCATTGATATGCCCCTCCGGCGTTGTTTGTCGTCCTTCGTCGGTCATGACTGCGAGTAAGAACCTTGGAAGAGTAGGAAATGGGCCTCGTTGTCAGCCTTTCATATCAGGCTGAGTCAAGGCTTTTAACGCCCGCTACATCTTCAGCTGAAAGCCGCTCACTGTCGACATGGTGGGCGAGGTGCAGCGTGCCGGTGAGCTATCATTGCTTTTCTCGCAGGCAGCAGTTTGCCTATTGTTACTGATCGTTCGCCTATCCTGACCCCGCCAATCATCGCATAACGCTAGGCATTCTACGAGGCGGAGTCCGAGAAGCATTAGCCTTTTGGAGCGTGGAGGACCTTCCATGTGATCGTGTGGCTAGTATTACCTGCATGCTGGCTAATCAATATATCCAGTGGCTGACAGGCATGATAGGGGCCATGACCAAGCACAGCCTCAGGTTCGCGGCCCCCAAAATGTGTATGACTAGGCTAGATATGCGAACGTGCAACACGTTCGTCAACAGGAGTCAACCCTGATCACCATTCGCACCTCCAGTTATTCTCGCATCATGGCACCGCTAAGTCGTTGCGACGTACCCAACCCGCTGTCACCTAGATCATCGGTGAACGATACTAGCACCCTTCCTTCGCCTTTAAGCCTCAACCCTGGAGAAATTCGTTCTTCTCGAGATGATCAGCATGAAGCGAAACTTCAACAATGCTGGGACAAATCAATCGCAAACTATCTGGATCTGCCAGATGGATACCGGAATGTACATGTTTTGGTGATCAAATGGCAAGACGCGATAGATCAGCTGAACGTGCGGCAAGAGGTATGAAACGAATCTGTGGTCTCATTATCTTGGCATTTTAATACTAACTCTACACCCATTAGGTCGACGACCTGACTAATGTCTTCAAAAAGGTCTTCAATTACGAAGTGACCGAGCTACAACTAGAAGAGAAGAGTCCGCAAATCCAGCTTGAGATGGAAATATTAAACTGGGTGTACGAAAACGATGATCCAAACAATCTGCTTATAGTGTACTACGCCGGTCATGGTGTTTATGACCAAGCTCTCAAGGTCCTCGAGCTCTCACCGTACATATACCAAAGCAAAATCCACAGAATATAGCTAACAGCGACTCCAGGACTGATGAGGAAGATAGTACCCTTCGAGCAATCTGGAACGACGCCGAGAGGACACTAATCGAGAAAGTAAAAGCAAACGTCCTCACTATCATGGACTGCTGCTACGCCGGCGATCTTATGCGCAACGTCTCCGAGCACGGTCGAACATTCGAGATGATAGCCGCCTCACGTATGGGCGCGCCCACCCCTGGGCCCGGTGAGAACTCTTTCACTCGTTGCCTCATCAGGCAGCTGAAGGTGTTAGCCGTGAAGAGTTCCGGTGGCTATGGCAGTTACTTTGACACCCATGAGCTTGTTGAGCGCATAGAAAAGGAACGCCCTGACTCACCTCCGAGACTATTCCGGCGAATCCCAGGCAGCAGCCGACACATTGAGTTGAGGAGGCTCAAGCCAAAGAATGAGCGTCCGACGCAGAAACCTAGCATATCGTCCCACGCACGCTTTCTGCATCTGGGGTTTGCGCTAAAGCATGAGACAATTGACGAGAAGCAGATCCAATACTTGACGAAGGAGCTTCCGGCCTTGTTTTCGAGTATACGGCTTCCATTGGTCAATATCAAGTGGTTGGGATGTAGGAAAGAGGGCAAACCGACGCTGAAGGATATCGTGCGCTTCGTATCAGAAAATCGGACAGCTCTTTCTGTGGTTACGCCGCCGCCTTCAGGGAGGAAGAGAAGTGCTGATGAGGCAGATTTGGAAGAGTCTGTGTCTGATCGACGGTGGTCCAAGCAACCGATGTTGAATACATATGTCTCTCTTGGGGAGTAGATGTCACACTCGAACGATAATCCTCTCGCATACCGTGTTCTATGAATAACGCCACCTAATCGCTTACTGCCTTGAGTGGTAAGGAACCTACTGTATATCGGCCTATAGAAATTGCCTTCTTCGCATATCTGCTCTTCCCTTTCTCTCGATCCCTCTTCCGCGCGCGCTACGGTAGACTGGCTCGAATTGTCCGAGGTCGTGTATGTATCTACTGTGTCGACGGGTCAGCATAGGCAGTATACTAGAGATGCAGCTGCAAACCACACAGGATGATCGGTTTGTCAACAGAAAGCTGGTCACTATACGCGACAACTGCATATATGGATCTGGAAATGTCCTATGTGATCCATACAACGTCTCCGCTCGTTATGCTCGCCAAAGCCTTCCCATCTTCAACGAGATGCGCAACATCGCGCAATGGGTGTGGGAGTATCTCGAGCAACGCCTGTACAAGAAGCGTTTCGACCCGGTACCCACCATGAGTTCAACAGTATTCATCGAAATTGCATTCAAGAACGGCGGTGTGCCGTTCCAGACTGACGCGTAGTCTCAAGCTGGTACGTAAAATTTTGTCCTTGTTGTTTACTTCGAAATGCTTACTAATGTACGAAAAGGATAGCTATGCCATCTTTACGCGATCCACTACGCGCACCTCTGCTCCTCAATTTACAGAGAGGTGTTAGTACTGTTATATGCCACGGTCCTCCTCGTAGCGGCATTGCGACGCAGATGACCAGGTATGGTGGCGAAAGCAGGTCGGATCGAGGTTACTACATGTTCTGGTCGCCCAAGCGGATAGAATCTTGCTCTGAGGGCGTAGTTATCCGAAATGATCATGAAAGTCAAGTTCCGATGTGGATTGTGGTGTCGTGTGGCAATGTTGACGGAGCCGTAGGGCGCGCATTGAAGATCGACGACACGACTACCAGATCTAATTAGCGTGAAGCTTACCAACGCGGTGTTATTGCCGAAATTTTGGGGAAGCAGCCACAAGCTTTCCCCATATCCTCAGGCAAAGCTTCGCAATTGGACATCCTGCGTGCAGCATGCATACAGATCCAACAGCCAAGCTCAAGATGGTATCGGATCTCAGTTAGCCTCCGCGGCCGGAGTGTGGGGACAATGAGTCGAAAAGATGGTTGACCGTCGGATAAAACACCGAAGGATGCGCTTCTTTCGCATACCCACACACCAGCCACACCACTTCTTGGAAGCCGTAGTCTTCTGTTTTCCTTATCAATCCAGGCAATTGACAACATCCCTTCCGGTCCATCGAGATGAGTGCCAATCGCGATGTGGAGAAAGCCACGATACCGGAGTTCGGAGAAGCGAATACCGAACGCCATTATGACGCGTCGTACGCCTCAATAAGGGTTCCATCAAGATCAGCATCCCAGCACGAAGAGGAGGAGATTGAGAGGATACCAACAAACGCGTCTCGTGCGTCTCATACATCTCGCACCAAGAAGTCGGTAATCGGACTGGCTAAGACTATTACCGCTCGTTCGAATGCATCCGTCATAGACCCTGGACCACCGCCGGACGGCGGCGCGAAAGCTTGGGTGCAGGCGTTTATGGGCCACTTCGTTATCTTCAACACGTGGGGGATGATTGCGACATTCGGCGTTTTCCAACAATACTACACGCTCGACCTGGGTCTGGAACCATCAGCCGTATCCTGGATCGGAAGCTTCCAGATGCTGGGTCACTTTTCGCTGGGCATGTTGACCGGGCGTCTTTTCGATGCGGGATACTTCTACTGGTCCGTGATACCTGGCATGCTCGTTTCCTGCCTCGGAATGTTCATGACCAGTCTGTGCACGAAGTACTGGCAGATCTTCCTTGCGCAGGGTGTAATGAACGGAGTCGGGAACGGGATGCAGTTTGCGCCCGTTCTGGGACTTGTCAGCACATACTTTGCGAAGAATCGGAGCGTGGCACTCGCGATCATGGCTAGCGGCAGTGCGACGGGCGGGCTTGTCTACCCAACTATCGCACGACAGCTAGTTCCCCGCATCGGTTTCCCGTGGACTGTCAGGGTGATGGCTTTCATGATGCTAGCTGTGGGAATATGTTACAGTTCCCTGTTGAAACCACGACTGCCTCCGAGAAAGTCTGGCCCTGTGCTTGAACTCAGCGCGTTCAGGGAAATGCCGTATAGTGTATTCTTGATGGGAGTCTTCCTCATCGCCCTTGGGCAGTACTTCGCCTTCTACTACATCTCGTCGTTCGCGATCGACATCCTTGGTCTACCATACGCAACCTCCATCAACATTCTGCTAGTCCTGAACGGTGTCGGTGTCCTTGGTCGTATCGTGCCATCCTATTTTGCCGACAAGTATACTGGGCCGTACAATATCCTAATACCCTTTTGCTTTGTCTCCGCTTTTGTACTATACTTCTGGCCGCTGGTCAACAGCGAACCTAGCCTTTACGCGTGGGCGGTGTGCTATGGCTTCTTCGTCTCGGGCTTCCAGGGTATCTTCCCGGCTGTGATGACTACGCTGACAAAGGACATGAGTAAAGTAGGCACGAGAAACGGTCAGGGCCTTGCGATAGTAGGATTGGGTACATTTATCGGGCCACCGATCGCTGGAGCGCTGATACAGAGTAATGGTGGAGGTTATCTCAGTGCGCAGATATTTGCTGGGACTGCAGTGTTGTTAGGAAGTTGTATATTGGTTGTGGGACGATGGAGTATCACAGGATTCAACCTGAAAGTACGAGTATAGAATAGCAAACGAAGCGACGCAAGCCATGACAACGCCTATTCACCTAGTCTCACCATCGCCCTAAACCGCGCGTCTTGTCCTTCGAAGCCTTGGAGCAGCGATACCTCTCGCCGTCTTCTTCCCACCACCGATCGGTATATACGTCCCATTCAGTCCACACCCAAAGTTCTCACACGTCGAGATAGTATGCACATACCGAATCTTCCCTTTCTCGACGCGGAAGGTATGGCTATCTGGCGCCGGCGTCTCACTCGCCCTATCCAACCCCGGAAACCCCACATAGATATTGACACTCCCCATCTCGACATCAACCACATAACGGCGATCTTGAACATACACGGTACTCGGCAGACCCAAAGAGCAAGTCTCGCCATTCGTCATACTCGTATCAGTATACGCACCTCCCTCAAGCCTGGCACAAGGCGTGCCAAACGGAATAGTAACGTTGACATTGCTAAAGCGGTCGAAGTACGCATCACCAGCCGCCTTGATAACCTCGCGGGTATCCTGATCCGCAAGCGGAATAGGCGACCAATCTTGCATACCATTCCAGTACGCCGTGCCGGTCGCATTGAACAGCCAATCCCCCTCATCGCTAACAAGGGTCTCCATCTTGGTCACAAACTTCCCGTTGCCCTCTACGCGTAAACCGAGAACATACGGATGGCTTGACTCTGCCACGATGATCTCGGTGAACGCGCTGCAGAGGTACGGGTCTAGGAAGACGCGCGAGTTGGTGCTGTTGAGGGGTGTGTTGATGATGGATGTTGCGGCGGAGAGATTTGCGGGCTTGAAGTTCTCCGTGTAGGTGAAGTTTTGGAGCATGTAGTTTGTGAGGAGCGTGGAGTTGCCGATGGTTTGGGCGGAGAGGTAGAGTGAAGTGAAGGCCGCGAGGAATTCGCGCTCGCAGGCGCTCATTGCGAGGGGGAGGAGCGCTGTGGCGCTGAGAAGGGTTGAGGGACGCATGTTCAGGGATCGCAGCTCTTGCAATTCAGCAACAATGTGGAGTTGATTCAGAGTAGTACTGGTGTTCCCCGTATCTTTCTCAGCTTTATGAAAGATTGCAATAGCCTTTAGACCATGTGAACTGCCGTCGGAAATAATCTGGACTACCATGCTCGAGCATGGGTGCGTTGCGGATGGACCTGCATGTACGTTAATATGCGAATAGAGTGTGGGGCTTGTCGGCATCGTGAACGACTCTTCATCGACCACACGTCCATCCCAAGCTAAATTGCAGCGCGTTTGGGCCAAAATCATGGTACGAGCGGACATTGGGGTCGAATTTATCTTCCATGCCTTAAAGATCAATGCTGGGCTTAGTGATGTCACTGTACAGTGAGAGACAAAGTTACAAATATTCTCCACGTTCATAGCACTAAGCAGTGCAGCTATCTGTACTACCCATCCTGACGGAAAACCCGCCTTCCGCAAACATCCTTTAGTCTTGTAAGCCAATGACCTTTTACCGTGATCTCGTCATATGCGCAATCCCATAATCAAGAACAAACAAAGCAAGGCCATCGGGCGGAGAATCACTCCTAAATCTGTAAAGCATGAAATAGAAGACTCCAAGCCCTAAAAGACGTCAAGCCAAAAAGGCTAATAACAAGACCACCCCTCGCCCTCATCACACACGTCCTCGTGGGCCGGATCGACCAGACTCATCGGAGAGGTCATCGGGTGAACACGCGGGGGGTTGGGGTAAACGTAGTTCACACCGGAGAGACCTACAGCGGGAGCAGCGCGTTGTGGATATGGGCTGTGGCTGCGGCTACGCCTGCGGCGGGTAGCACGTGGGAGCTCTGTGGCACGCTCAGGCTCCTTAATGACTGGCTGGTCGATTTCGTCCTTGCAGTGCATGTCCTTGGCGAGGTCGAAAGCGTCTTGAAGGCTGATCTTGTCGCTAAGACCTTTCTCTTGAGCCCATTTCCAGATCTTCTTCATACCAGTGCTGCTCTCGATGATGTTCTTCTCGGGACCGGAGACGTCGCTGCTGTTGATGGGAATGTGGACAGTCTTGTCGCCGGACTCGACGGTGGCCCAGTAGGTGACGGTATAGTCAGTAGATACAGGAGCTTCTGGTTCGGGAGCGTTGTTGGAGTCTTTAAGGTTGCCAATGGAAGCCCATGCGTCGTCTCCTGAGCTCTGTGGGCCTGGTCCAGTAGACCCCGGATTACCAGGCGCGGAGTTGGGGTTTATCAACCAAGCAAGGTCATCACACTCGTATTCCCAACTTGACGGAGCCCACAGGGGATCCCTTGGCCCACCTGAACCGCCATGTCCGTCACTAATCGCAGAGGGGGCTGCACGAACAGCGCCCGTCTTGTTCTTGGCCTTGTCCTGGTCCTTCTTGGACTCGTCTTCCTCTGTGGAGCTTGCGATGTCCTTCAAAGGTCGGAGTACCTTGAAACGGTCGGCATCTCGCACATTCATCGTTGTTCCAGTAGGCTCATCGTTGTGATGAGGTGAGAAGGCTTGTGAGGGATCACTGACCATTAAGGTGTTCATTACGCCGTCTTGAATGGACTGGCGATCCAATTCTCCCAAACCAGCGTTCTCAAGCGGCGCAAGCCAAGCCCTCAGCATCTGTCGGATATGATCAAGACTGCGGGCGTTGCGGTACATGGAGACAGCAACAACCAGATTCGCGCCACACATACGAAGGATCTCGAAGACTTCATCGCGCGAGAAGGCGTTGGCAGTAAAGTCCAGAAACTCGTCCACCATAGCGTCGTCCGGTGCGGGTGTGGTGTCGGCAGGAGCAGAGTCGGTAGCGACCTCGACACTAAAAGACGTCTCTGGCAGACCCTTGTCCATAGAGAGGAGGTCGGGAATCGAACCGGCGTCAGAATCGCTGTACTCTTCTCCATCTGTACTGAGAGCATAGTTGAGACCTCCTACTGATACGCGCGCCTGCTTCTTGTGTTCCGCAACAGTCGGAAGGAATCTACGCGGCTCCAAAGTAGTAGTTCCGGCAGTCGCGTCGCCGTTCTTGACCTCGGCACAGTCGTCTTCGATCTCGAACTCGATATCGGAAATGTCGGAAATGTCGGAGTTATCTAGAAGATTCAGAAGATCGATGGGTGAGATACCTTCCTTGAGGGTAATACAGCCGACGTTGTGATCTTGACCCGTGTGGACACCGCAATGGGCCTCTAGCGATGGCTGGCTGGCTGCGTTCTTCTTTGCGTGCGTGCGGTCTAGAAGCGAAGTAGCGGACTCAGGCTGCAGGGCTGCAGGCCCGCTCGACGAAGAAACAGGAGTAAACTCGCGTTCGTGCCAACGTTGAGCAGCCATGTTATCGGCTTTCAGGATGGTTTCGATATCCTGCTCGCGAATCTGGCTGTGGACGTCCTCGAAAGTTCTGAGCTCAGGAAGCGGTGACCTAGATGCGCTCGTTGCAGTGCGAGCATGGGAAAATGTCATGGACGGCACAGTCGACCAAACAAAATTGCTCAAGTGTGTCAAAGGGACGTTTGGCCAGTCTGCAGTTGGGTTATTGCCATCATCATCTCCAGACTTGACCTTAACAGTACTCCACTTCTTCTTCACGGACTGCTCTTCACCCTGATCATCGGCTCGTGTAGCAGAAGGAGAAGCCTTGACTTCCGCCGAGAGAGGAGGAGCAGTGTCGGTATGCGATAGTGAATGTGTCTCAACCTGACGTCGATGGTTCCCGTAGGGCCGGGGAGACAGCAAGGGGTCAAAGACACGCCTTGGAGTCTGACCAATCATACCTCCCGCGACTTGGTCGGAGTGCTCGACCGCGGAGCGCATGTTGTTGTACACGGGGAAAAGATCGACGGCTGAAGGGAACGCCCCGATCATGTTACGGGCACTGTTAATAGACTTCTTCACTGCCATCTCGTGGGCTTTAACCAGCCCTCGGAGTCCGGCGGGGTCGTTGCGGCCGTTTGCGCCGTGTCCAGCGGGATCTTGCTCGTCGTGTTCTTCGCGCTCGTTGCTGGAGGCGTCCGCAAGGCCGTGTTCCTTGTCCTTACCAGGTTGGCCGTTCAGGACTTGCTCATACTCAGCGTTGAGTTCTTCGATCCGAGCTTCGAGTTGAGCCAAGGCCTCATCGTCGTTATCGAACGCAAGCTGGGACGCCGCACACATGTTAGCCTCTTCAGCGATTTCCTGGAGTGGTCGAAGACCAGCGGTGTTGACCTTGGGAGACATCCTGCTGGAAGGCAATGGGTACTCGTCAGAGCTTGGCGGGGTGTGAGCAGCGGGACTGAATTGATCGCCGCTATCGCTGTCACTGAAGGAGCCGGGAATCCACATCGAATTGGCTCGACCGAAACGTCCGCGTTGGCGCATCCGGTCCATGTCTAATGGAGTACTTTCTGTAGAATCTTCGTAGTCGTGAATAGAAGAAAAGTTGTTTGGAGGTAAGGTACCGCAGTGTTGTCGGGGTGTACGGTGGAGGAAAAGAGCTGGTCGGAGAGGGGCTTTTTTATACGGCCTTAGCGCGTGAGAGCTTGGACGTGGATCTGGGTGAGAGCAGGTGATATCGCTCAGAGACGGGAAGTGAAAGATCGGACGTTTCTGGATAATGACGTATTCGGGAAGGCAGACGCGGAGGTGAGGGGCGAGTGAGTGTCGAACAGGCGGTAGCGACGCAGATAGCCTAGCCGCTGGAATAGATGTGCCACCAGTACACCAGTATCGTCCAACGTAGGCCGAACGATCATCTTCACACCCCATCACTCAAGCAAAGGTCTCCTCTCTGCATCCCTCGTATTCCACCAGAAGAAGCCTCTCTTACGCGTCCCGTCATCCACCTCTTCAACCTCGAATTCTTTCTGCTCGCCATTCACTCTTCGCCACCACTTCCCCCAACTTTCGCTTCTTCTCACCCATACCTCTTCAGTTCCATCCTCATGGAGCGCGTAGCCACCTCGACTTGCCTTTGCACCAAAGCCAACCCACTTGATACACTTTGCAAGACTGTACAGCACCAAAACACCAAAGAGCGTACAGAAGATAGTCACGATGGACGTCAAGAAAGTGATTGTAGACACTTGACAGCCCAACCCCGAGGTACGCAGCTCAAAGCGCTCGGATGGCAGAGCGCATATCGAGTCGTAGCGAATGGGTGAAAGAAGAGGAAAAGCTTTTGATAAAGCGTCCGTAGGTAAGGGAAGGCACGTCGAAGACTGTCAAAGTGAGTCAGTCATGATCCGCGGTATCCCAGGGGTGAACGCGTGACAAGTCGATGAAGGAGATGTGAACGTACAATAGCACACCACCCGCAATGGCCTTTACTTCGATGACAGTCACCACAATCATCATAGCCCCAGCACTCGAACAATCGTCCCCAGTCATCTTTAGGGCTGCTTTGAAGCCGTTGATGGAGCAGTTCCGTCACGTTTTTCGACGCGTCATCGTCGCGCTTGGCAGAGGTGGCTGGGCAGTTGGATGGCATCATGTACGTGTGGAACAGCCAGGAAGTATACAACACCCAAGTCACGTAAGATTGAGGGCTGCTACGCGAAACGAATAATGTTGGAAGCGCAAAAGAAAGTTGGGATGAGATGATCAGCAAGTTGCGATGAAAGGTCGATGAAAGCGGGGCGCGATAAGATGTGCGCTATTCCGCATTCGTCACGCATCTGTCACCTCGGCTCCCAGACATTCTGCGGAAGTCATCAGCTCACGAGGTCAAGCGAGGCACTCAAGACACGGATTTGCAAAATGAGAGAGTGATATTCACTGAAGCTAAAGTATGTACAAAGAAGATGCCCCAGATGTATCAAATGTCGAGACCGGGGCAGGAGATGGATGTGCGCCTCTTATTTAGGGACGCACTGAGAGAACCATGTGTTGTTCACTGCGCACTTGTATCCGCTGACACAAGCTGTCGGACCAGTATAGCCTTGACCGCCGCATCTGATTCGAAGTTAGTATGTGTTCAATGCATGAAAGTTCTTTGTCCACTTACTGTTCCCAGGCGTTTGCCGTCTTGGTAGGAGTCGCCTTGGTGGGAGTAGCTGAGGGTGCTGCAGATGTCTTGGTCGGCGCAGCCGATGACTTTCCTGGTGTGGACGATGGCTTCACAGGGGCAGCTGACGAACTAGTCGGAGCCTTGGAAGATGAGGGCTTAGCGGTACTGGCGGATGACGGAGCAGACGACGAAGGCTTACCACCTCCACTGCTTGCACCAAGCGCAAGGATCTTAGCAGCAGCATGTTCTGCGAGCACGACAATGTAAGACGTAGGGTTGGTGAAGATATGACTGCGCCATGTTAGTTCGAGGATCATGTGCGACAATGAGGGTGAGCTTACCCAGGGAAGAGAGACGCGTCGACGACGTGGATGTTCTTCGTTCCGTACACCTGAGTGTTCAGATCCACGACGGCTGTTCCGCCAGTAAGACCGCTGTCGGTTCCAATCTTCGCGGTTCCGATCCAGTGGTTGGCGCGACGGGCAGCTGGTGTCTTGGGAAGGCTGGCAACGTATGCCTCGACCGTCATGTTGGGTGATGGTACCTGGAACTCGATCATCGGGTTCTTCTGGATAGCCTTCATCATACTCTTGATACCAGCAACAACTACACCGGTGTCGGCTTCGTTCTGTAGGTAGGGCGCCTTGCTGACGTAGACGTTGAGAGCACCGTTGATGGAGAGCGCACCACGCGAGGTAGAGCCGTGGCCTAGGTACTGGCTGATAGTGAGGTGGTGGGTGTCGTTGGCACCGGGGCCTTCAACACGAGCAGTCCATTGGAGTGATCGGTCAATGCCATCACTTCCCTTGATCACTTCCCAAGCGAGGGGACCAATGTTGGGCGCAGACTGAGCAAGGATACCAGAGCGCTTGGAGAGGTACAGATCCTTGTCGCTCTCGATGGGAGCATCCCACGCCTTGTAGAAGTCGTAGAAGGAGATGTTGGGGTGCTTGATTACAAGGTCGGTGTTGACGTGGTCGTTCAAGTTCTGGCCGACGGGGAGGTTGATCCAGTCAGACTCGTTGATCATGGTCGAGCCATCGAGGGCGCTGTTCTTGACGATGCTCAACTGGTCTTTTGGTCCAATGCCGCTGCGGAAGAGAACCTTGGAGGATCCGAAAGCTCCACCGGAAATAATGACACGGCCTCCAGGGTTCAGGTTGACAGTACCGCAGTAGCCAGTGCCGCCAACACCGCTCTCAAGCTCGACGCCAGTAGCAGTATCACCGGTGCGAACGATACGGCGGGCCATCGTGTTGGTCCACAGCTTGAAGTTCTTCCTCTCAAGGGCGGAGACCATGTAAGTGCCAAGAGGACCTTGCCTCTGACCGTTGTCGTACATGAAGGGAGAGTGAGAGTATGTGCGGTTCTTCTGGTTCTGTTGGTCGTTCGCGACGACGCTCTTCCAGCCATCTGCACCAAGTGCACCAGATAGGACATCGAAGCCTTCCTGCTTGTAGCGCTTTCCGTCGACGGAGGGAGTGTCGGTACCCGGGATGCGCTTGAAGACACGGTCGATTGCGCCCTTGACGTCAGCTGACTTCCAGCCGTTGGGGAACTGGTAGTCGAAGTCAACATCAACAGGCTTCCACCAAAGCGCAGCATTGACAGCAGCGCCTCCACCGAGAACACAGCCAGCCATTTGGTCAATGTCAGTGCAAGCTACACCAGCAGAGTCAACCCAGATCTGGTTGCAAAGACCGGGGACGTCGAAGCGGGTCAGGTTGTTGCTAGTGACCCAGTCAGGGCCCATCTTTCCTCCGAAACGGGCGAGAGATGGCGGGCCCTTCTCGAGCATGAGAACACTCTTGCCAGACTCAGAAAGCTTGTCTGCTACGGGAATACCTCCAGCACCACCGCCAATGACGATGTAGTCGAAGGAGCCTGAAGGAGCAGGCGATCCCTGGCACTTGACAGGTGCTGTTGGAGTGGGCGTAGCCGATGGCTGACCAGATTTGGTCGGTGTAGGTGCACCAGAAGGCTGGCCACCTACCAACTTGAGGTAGTCGGTGTACTTTGCGTTCCTCGCGTCCGCGGTAGGAGCGCCGAACTGAGACTGTCCCTTGTTGTGGAAAACCCAGGTACCGTCATAGATCTTGTCATGCTGGGCCCAACCGATAACGTTGACCTCAGTAGTGGGAAGCTGAGAGCCCTCAGCACCGCCCTGGTTCCAGACCCAGCAGTGCTCGCATCGGTAGACGATCTCGAAGTGTGTGTCGGTGACGGAGTGGAAGATTTGAGTCAAAGTCGCGTTGCCAGTGTAGTCCTCAGGAGCGACATAGCCACCTGCCCAGACAAACTTGGTCTTGACGGCATCTTCTTCCGGCCATGCAACGAGGAGAAGAGAGTTTGGCATGCCACCAGCATGGCTGACACCGGACCATCCCTGCCTGTTTGCTTCGAGCGAACCTTTCTGGGGAACATTAGCGGCTGCAGCATCGACACAGACTTGCTATAACTTACAATGTAACCAATGTACTCGTCGTTGGCTCCAGTAGGCTCTCCAGGCAGTACCCAACCCCACTCGAAACCACCTGCAGTCTGGGCGTCACTGACTGTCTGGCGCCAGAACTCAATACCGGTGCCTTCGTGGGTGAACGTTTCCTGCGCAAGAGCGAGAGGGGCGAAAAGAGAGGATAGCAGCGAAGCCGCTCGAACGAAAGAAGAGGTCTTCATCTTGGAGACTTGTTACCAGCACGTCGAAGATGAGATGAATTGACAAGCGCAAGTTGTAGCTGTGGCCTCTATCGCTATGCCAGGGTGCGGACGTGTTATATACATATCAACATCATGCTAGACTACGCCGCCGTGTATGGGGTTGACACCCGTGGCCAAGCCACTACCTGGGGAACTTCCTTCTGGAGGCGGCAGAAGTGCGCATTGAACCAGGTACGGAAGACGCGCGCTGGCTAGGATGGGCCAAGCGAGGGGCGTGATTACCGTGGGCGACATCGTCATTGGCTGTTTCAAAACGTAGGTGATCTGGCCGAGATTCAAGGTTAGTCGTTAATATGTCGAAACTACGGCGGCATGGGTGGATTGATTGATGTAGATTGACAGAAGCCGGGACTGCGACTTAGCATCGCCGTTAGCCATGTACCCCTTGCCCGTTCGGGCCCAGGCTTCCCCACAATCGTTTAGTGGCTGGTGGGATGGACCGTCACTTTCGCGCTTTCGCCTCGCATCAGCCTCTTCAAATGCACCATCTGCACCACCAGCTTCGTCGGAAGGATTATCAAGTCTGTGCCCTTGACCTCGTGCAACCGCCACAGCCTTCTCGGTACCGGCTTCTTCCCGCATATTCCGCAAGGCTGCCCCAAAATGAAGGACGGCTTCCAAGCCTTCTCGCTGACCGACAAGACGCGCACGTTTCATTGATTGAAACACTTGACCAGACCAGTAACACACAATCTATTATATTACGCATTCCTCCTCTCGCTTCCCACATTCCAAGAGCCGCGCCACGGTGTCGCGGCATGTCTCGGTCATATCCTCCTCCCTGTAATTAATACTGCGGTTTTTCCACCCAACCGCCGGTTCAAAGAACGCGCAGTCACGACCGCATTGGTGCTCGTTGCCTATTTGGAATATGCCGAGGGTTCTATGCTCTGAAGAATCCACGAAGCACGTGTCTCGTGCATACACAGTATATTTTCAAAAGTGCGTTACGGCGGGCGAAATAGATTGGGATTAAAGTGTCTCTGGTCACGCGAGTCTACCGCGAGTCGCATGCGTGCCGAACTGGAAGGTCGACCAGATTTGAACAATAATGCCGTGTTCCATTTGGACAGCTTGAGAACGGTGCACAACAATGGCATATAGGAAGATTCATCGACGCGTTGATGAGGACATTCAGGATCTAACGTAGTAGCCTACATGATGAAGGCTTATGCGGTTACTTGTGCTTTACTGGCCAGCGCTTCGGCACACACAATTTTCACCCAGCTACACGTCAATGGCGTGGCGCAAGGACACACTAAGGGGATTCGAGTGCCGGTGAGCATGTTCACGATTCCCATGTTGCTCCCCTGCTAACAGCACGACACAGACCTACGACGGGTAATGCACCCCGCAATCGCCTTTTGAACTCCAACTCACTTACGTTTCCAGACCAATAACGGACGTTACATCAAACGATGTGATCTGTAATGGCGGGTAAAGCATTACAAAGCGTGGAACCAAGCGCTAGATTGACCCGCATTCAGCATAAACCCCTACAGAACGCCTCTTCCCAAAGACATCATCAATGTACGCTGGTTGCGCAATAAGCAATAACGCCACATGGCTTCGGCTTACTCCTTGTCAGGTCAAAGCTGGAGACAAGCTCACTGCCGAGTGGCACCACACGCTCGATTCCAAGCCCGAGACGGACAAGTCAGATCCAATTGACCCCGGTCATCTGTGACCCATCATGGTCTACCTTGCCAGAGTCGATGATGCCTTGTCTACCAAAGTGACGGGACTCAAGTGGTTTAAGATCTACGAGGATGGTATGGATGCCAATGGCGAGTGGGCCGTTACAAGACTGTATAACAACAAGGGCCTGGTAGACTTTGTACTGCCGTCGTGCATACCCAGTGGACAGTAAGTCATCTCCAAGTTCTTACCAAATCTATATGGTCGACTGACACGGGTCTTTCCAGGTACCTCCTTCGCGCAGAGCTCATTGCTCTCCATGCCGCCTCAAACTACCCCGGTGCTCAACTCTATATGGAGTGTGCTCAAATCAATGTGACAGGAGGTGGCAGTGCCAGTCCGGCGACTGTCAGCTTTCCAGGTGCATACAAAGCGACTGACCCGGGGATTAAGTTTCAACTGTACTGGCCGATCCCGACCAGCTACACAATTCCCGGTCCGAGACCATTCACTTGCTCTGCCAAGATCAGGTAGGCAAACATGGGGGACATTCACGCACACATACATAAACTTCTCTTCTTCTTGTTGCGTCAAGTACATACAAGATCCAACCCAAATGCAATCTAGTGAAAGGGTAGTGGAAATATAGATACACTTTCGCTACACTCAAGATCCATCCATAATGCCACAAGAAATGACTTCCCCATTAACACGCAAGATAACCCATTCCCCATGACCGTCTTCATGCATGCACCCCACAAACAATCTGCCCGCATCCATCTCACATGCATAACGCATGATCGCAGCTTCCAACCGTGGAACCTTGGAACTTCGTACCTGCGTCAGCAGCTCCACTCCGCCTGAAGCTTCCCCACCAACACCTCGTGCCTCCACAACCCCAAGCCCTGCAACACCATTCCCGCAAAGTTACGCCCCACCGTACTCGACAGACCGAATATACGCCTTGATACTGCTACTTTGGCAAAATTGACGGAATTTAATATACGCGTACAGCCATATCGAATATGCACGACGAACGTGAGTGCTCCTCTTCCCCACTACCATACACGCCCAGCGCGATGCATGCGCATAGCCAGACCATGCGACCATTTGTGATCTCCAATGCTAGGGTATCGCTTGAGAATATGTTGAGAGAGAAGCAGCGACCTCGGCAACGTCTCATTCGGCCATGCGAGCTCTGAAGTGTGGCTACCCGTCGCATCGCATCGCATCCCTACACCCAGCACAACACAACAAGCGCGAACCTCAATAACACCACTCCCACAGACCCCCACCCCCTCCTCGCCCAAGTCCCCCTAACACTCTCGCCCTTCCTCTCCCTCCCCACATCCGTCCCCCTGCCATACTCCTACGTAACCCTTCCATCGACGCTGCCTCCCTCGATCCTCTCTCAGCAGCAGCAACAACAACAAGACCCGTCCAACCCCAACGCCTCTGCGTCGAAACCAGCATACGTCACCTCTTCGACGGGCACATCAGCGCATCCAGACCAGATACTCACGTCGTGTGTCGCGCTACAGGAGCACCTTGCTAAGCTAGAAGCGGACGCGAGGAGGACGTTGGCGGAGTGGGAGGAGAGGCGGCGGAAGGAGGATCTTGCGGAGAAGAGGAGGGTTGCGCCTGGGTGGTTGGACAGTGGTGTGCATATCATTAAGCCGGAAGGATCTGGCGATAATCATGAGTCGGCCAAGGAAGAAAAGGTGCCAGAGCAGAACCTGATGGATCTAGATCCGCAGGCGGAGCGCAAGGCACAGGAAGGCGAGGAGCTGGACAGGGTGTTTGGTGGATTACAGGTTTAAGCTTACCATCTCAACATCACTATACCCAACAACAAGATTTAGCGACCAGCGGTCTTCATAATAGATTAATACCAAGTTATACAACTATAAGCTATGACATGCTGTTTTAGCTCAAGCCTAGATACGCGTCGCCTACAGTGATCCCCACGGCGGCGCGACATTACAGACATATGAGAACCGAAGTTACGGAAACAGAAAGGGGAATCTTGAAGGAAGAATGTGGAGAATTAGTGCGACCATGCTGAATCGCTGCACCATCTCTGTACGTGCAACACCACCAACGCCAAAAGGTGCGTCTAGCGACGGCCGTGAGAGCGGTTGATGCTTCCCTGGAGGCTGTCCACTTCCGTCTCAAGACGCTTGATCTCCGCGTGGCTGGCCTCGAGATCCTTGTTGAGGCGGTCACGCTCGGCAATAAGCTTCTGCTCCCACTGCCTGAAGCGCTGCTCCTCAACCTTGACCTGCTCGGTGAAACGCTTGCGGAGCGCCTCTTCCTCCTCCTTGAACTTGGGGTTGTCCAGCTTCCTTGGGCGCGCCTCGCCGAACTTCCTTGTCTCCATCTGGCCAGCGCGGTAGGCCTCGTAGTGGTTCTCCTCCGTGGTGTGGATGAGGTCGAGCATGTGGGTTCGGATGAGAATAGCGCGGAGCTTCTTGAAGTCGCAGTGCTCCTCGTTCTCGACTTCGGCAACACCCCAGGCGTATTGGCGGCCCTTGACGGTGCGGCCGTCGTTGGTCTGGACGTCCTTCTCGGAACCGATGACGGAGAAGGGCATGGCGTCGATGAGACCGCGTGCGTGTTGCATGGCGGCGGCGTCGTCATCCTCGAGAGGGGGAGTGTAGATCTTGATGCCCTGAGCATCGATCACTTGGCGCACCTAAAAGCGGTCAGTATTTGCTGGTGACATGTAGATGGATCAACTTACCCTCGCCTTGAACTTGGCCAGGTCTGTTGGGCTCAGTGTGTCGGCCTTGGCTACAACCGGGATCAAGTTGACGCGTGTGCACAGCTTCTTCATGACCTCAATGTCCAGGGGCTTCAGGGTGTGGCCGGTGGGGCGGATGAAGTACAGGCAGGCGTGGACACGGAGATCGATCTTATCGGAGCGGCGCGGTTGTTGCTCCTGAAGCATGTACGACTCATGCTGGTCGTCGAGGAACTCAATAATGGGTTGCCACGAGTCGCGGTTGTTGACGTAGTCACCGAAACCGGGGGTGTCGATAACGGTAAGACGGACTAGATGTGTTAGCACAGGGAACGAATAGCAGGATGGCGCCGCATACCCTTGAAGAACTTCTCCTCGAGCTCGGCCTTGGTGATCTCAATCTCGACGGTCTTGTCCATCTGCTTGTGGTGTCGTCGCTTGTGGTCGGCGTAGTTCTTGATGGTGGTGGAGAAGAGGGTGTTGATGAAGGTCGTCTTTCCGAGACCAGACTCGCCAGCAACCTGAGCTAGTTAGATTGAAGTCGATTGGTCATGGGGACGGTATGCGTACCATTATGGTGAAGGCAGCACCGCGCTTTGCAACAATCTTGTGCCTGTGCTACGTTAGGGCCGAAGCTGCGTGTCCGTTGTGTTGATAGTACCTCTGGTTGGGCAGCTGCAATGCATGTTAGTATACGAATTGAAGACAGAGGTTGAGCAGATGGTATACGTACATTGGCAATGCCAATGGGGGACGCGGACTCGGCCATTGTGCTGATGTGTGGTTGACCGCTGGTGTGTATGGGGTCTGCGTGGTGTTAGCTATATGGAGCCTGATATCCGGGGAGTGGTGCGGCTTTAGAACATACGTGGAGGTGGCGGGTGAAAAGCAAGTCAGCAGTGAGGTTGCTGAACGAGGTGCGATATGGGGTCTGGTGAGGAGGTGTGGTGTTGGTAGACAATTTGGGCAGTCCCCTTTCTGCCAGTCGCCCATTCGGCAAGCACTGACCCTGAACGGGGAAACCGCGACTAATGCACACTACTCCACTAGCGCGTCCTGCGATGATCCGAGCTTCGAAAAAGTTCAAGATGCGACCATCATGCCCGCCACGACATGACGAGACCGCAGCCACGATACTTTGAAGATGAAGACTGACTTTCAGGTGAGTTGGGTGCTGTCGTGCAAATGTTCGCGTCTGACACCCACAGTTCTCCAACCTGCTGGGCACCGTCTACAGCAGAGGCAATCTTCTCTTCACACCCGATGGCACATGTCTACTATCGCCCGTTGGTAACCGGGTCACGGTTTTCGACCTTGTGAGGTAGGCTCCAAGTCGCGACTGCCTCTCTCGATATGCGCTGATCATTGGTCAGCTCCAAGTCATACACGCTTCCGTTTGCGCACCGGAAGAACATCGCACGCCTTGCCCTCAACCCTCGCGGAAACCTCCTCCTCTCGGTCGATGAAGACGGTCGCGCAGTCCTCACCAATGTTCCTCGTCGCATCGTACTCTACCACTTCTCTCTCCGCGGCGAAGTCACCTCGATCGCTTTCTCTCCTTCTGGTCGGCACTTCGCAGTAGGCATAGGAAGGCAGATTGAAGTATGGCACACACCATCCACTCCAGACGTTGCGGAGGGTGACCTTGAGTTTGCGCCCTTCGTGCGCCACCGGATATACACAGGACACTACAATTCAGTCCAGAGCATAGAATGGTCGAGCGACTCGAGGTTTTTCCTCAGCGCGTCCAAAGACATGACGGCGCGGATATGGAGCGTTGATCAAGCAGAAGGGCATGCGCAGACAACACTGGGCGGACACAGGCAGGAAGTAGTCGGCGCATGGTTCTCCAAAGATCAAGAGACCATCTACACAGTCAGCAAGGACGGAGCGCTGTTCGTCTGGAAATACATGCTACGCTACGATGCGCCCGCCGACGCCGACCCGGACGACGACGAGAACCTACAATGGGGTATTCAGGAACGCCACTTCTTCCATCAGAACAATGCGCACGTCACATGCGCCAGCTTCCATCCCGAGTCGAAACTGCTTGTGACAGGCTTTTCACACGGTGCCTTCTTCATCCACGAGCTACCAGAATTTGCGCAAATCTCCAGCCTCAGCATCTCGCAGAACGACATCGATTACGTCGCTATCAACAAGACCGGAGAATGGCTAGCTTTTGGCGCGTCGAAACTCGGTCAGCTACTTGTGTGGGAATGGCAGTCGGAATCGTACATTTTGAAGCAGCAAGGACACTTCGACTCGATGAATACAATCGCCTACTCGCCAGACGGTCAACGGATAATAACAGCGGCAGACGATGGAAAGATCAAAGTCTGGGAAGTCAACTCCGGTTTCTGTGTCGTCACATTCACAGAACATATGGGCGGTGTGACGGCCTGCGAATTCGCGAAGAAGGGAAACGTCTTGTTCACAGCCAGTCTTGATGGCTCCATCAGGGCTTGGGATCTCCACCGGTACCGCAACTTCCGCACTTTCACAGCGCCATCGAGGCTCTCCTTTTCGTCCCTAGCGGTTGACCCAAGCGGCGAGGTCGTATGCGCGGGCTCTATCGACTCTTTTGACATTCATATTTGGTCCGTGCAGACCGGCCAGTTGCTCGACAGGCTGTCTGGCCACGAGGGCCCTGTGTCATCATTGGCATTCTCCCCCGATGCCGGTACGCTGGTCAGTGGAAGTTGGGATAGGACTGTTCGCGTCTGGAACATCTTTGCTCGCACCCAAACAAGCGAGCCGCTACAACTCATGGCCGACATCCTATCTGTCGCATTTCGCCCAGATTCGAAGCAAATAGCCGTCACAACTCTTGATGGACAACTGACGTTCTGGAACGTATCCGATGCTGCACAAGAAAATGGCCTTGATGCGCGAAGGGACGTTTCCGGTGGTCGCAAGATGTCAGATCGGCGCACTGCAGCCAATGTAGCAGGCACCAAAGCCTTTACGTCGGTGAAGTACAGCGCAGACGGCACGTGTGTATTGGCAGGCGGCAACTCCAAGTACATCTGTCTATACGATGTTCAGTCCGGTGTGTTGCTCAAGAAGTTCACCGTATCCGTGAATCTTTCTCTCGATGGCACACAAGAATTCCTCAACAGCAAGCTGCTCACAGATGCCGGGCCACAAGGTCTCATTGACGACCAAGGCGAAGCGTCAGATCTAGAAGATCGGCGAGACACAACACTACCCGGTGCGCAAAAGGGCATTGGCGCACGGAAAACACGACCGGAAGTGCGCGTACCCGCTGTCGCGTTCTCGCCAACAGGCAGAGCGTTCTGCGCTGCTTCAACAGAAGGCTTACTAATCTACTCACTCGACAACACGTTCCAATTCGATCCCTTCGACCTAGACATCACCGTCACACCGGCGACAACTCTCGAGACTCTCGCACAGAAAGACTACCTCAAGGCACTGGTCATGGCTTTCCGTCTAAACGAGCGCAACCTTGTTCGCCGCGTATACGAAGCTACGCCCGTGAGCAACGTCGCTCTAGTAGTCAAAGACCTACCATCAGTGTATCTCGGTCGGTTACTACGATTTGTCGCCCTCCAAGCCGACGAGTCCCCGCATCTGGAATTCAACTTAGTGTGGATCGAGGCACTGCTCAGCAAACACGGTCGATGGATGAAGGACAATAAGGGCGGACTTGAGGCTGAGTTAAGAAGCGTTGAGAAAGCCGTTCGCCGGATACAGGCTGAGCTCGCAAGATTGGCCGATGAGAACATCTATCGCATCGAATATCTGCTCGCACAGCCGCCAGAGGAGAAAGAGAAGTCAGCCCAACTCGACTTTGGGGTCAAAGCGATAGAGAATGGGATATCGGATGAAGAGATGGTTGACAGCGATGAAGGCGAGGATATAGGCGAGTGGATGGGCTTTGAAGAGTGATACCATTGTACGAATACGAATTTTGACGAACTGTTACATCGAGAAGCCTAGTGGATCGTGATTGCGACGTTGTAGAAGAGCTCACGTGCTCTGAATTCACCCAGACTTACAGGGTCTCACCGATGTTCACCGCATCTGACCTTGGGACGTTGACAAGACTCAAGACGATGCGTACCTTTGTGGGTTGTCATGGTTGGGCTGTTCTTGCCCCATGTACGTTCGAGCCTGCATTTTACCAGTACCTGCCCTTGCTTCATGTCGCTCTTTCCGCGTTCTGAGTATACATGCTGGACGACACTGATGGTCAAAGCGTACCAAGCGCGGCTTGATCATGGGTAATGTGCTAGGAAGGTGCGTGCTGCTTACGACGATCGCCACTTCATCAATGCATTGATGGAGATGTATTGCGAGGAGGAAGAACTTATCACACCGCTTATTGTATACACAGAACCTTGGCATGATCTCGACTCTTAGACACCGCGAAGACGAATATCTACATGAGAGAATTAGGGGTCAACAGATCGTCGCGGGCCGTTTTTGGTATGAGAGCGCCCTCCTTGTCAGCCGCCACAACATTGCCATCCTTGCCACGGAAAGACCCAGGCATCACTAAGACAGTCGAACGATAGGTGGAGATACTACTCAGCATCACCAGACGCCGTATTCTGTATCAGATGTACGAGCCGGTACGAGCCGGTTCAGGCGGTGTAGCGACTTTAAGTATTTTGTTTGAGATAACTCTTGAATAGTAAAAGCTGTCACTATAGTTTTTCCTATCAACAGTTAGGTACGGTTTCTTAATCTTTCCATACAATGACTACCTCCCATGCTGAGTGGTAGCTTTCCTGATTCCAGACATCGTGCACGAAGACAGAATCTCATGGACTCGAGAGCTGTATCAACGGACCAAACTCCGAATTATAGTCTAGACTTCTGGTAAAAGAGGTGAAAACGGGCCGAAGTCTACAGCGTGCCGAATCATCCAAAGTAGTTAGTCCACGCGCTACGTAGCATTACAGCCGTAGCGCGCCATACCAATTTTATGCAGGTGCTGGTAAGATGCACACAATTCAAGCCCTTGAATGTAAGCACCAAATTTAACAAATCTTACCAGGAGATACCCGGCCGAATTTGAGAGTTGAACTCTATCTGAGCAGTCCCTTGGAATGGTATGGCGTACCACGCGTGAGACGGAAGACTGTGGCTTGCTCGTGGCATACAAAAGCTGCCCACCGACCGCCTTAGAGAATCACATCTCTACTCAGCAGTCTACATTCACTCTAATCACAGAACTTTCAGCACCCCAAAATCATTCACTATGAAGCTGTCAATCGTTGCCGCAATGCTATTCACCTCACTCGCCGCTGCCGAGATAAGGTACTTTTGCCTGAAAGGTGGAGACGCGATCCCAAAAGATGAATGGAGCTGTTCTACTGCAGACAACCGAGCATGTAAGCAATCTTTCGTACTAGCGTTTTCTTTTCTGGTCACTCGCTAACGAATTATAACCTTCTGTAGGCCAAAACAAAGGCTGTGCAGACACTTGCTTCCCTGGTGCAGATGCAGTTCAGGTATACAGAGTACAGTTGTATGTATCACGTCGCAGACTCGAGAAAGGTAGAAGCTTACTTCAATTACAGGAAGAATCCAGATGCTTGTTTCTGCTATTGCAGAGAGCTGTAAAGATCGTTCAAGGAGGATTTGGGGTCGGCATGCTCACATGATGTCCCCCAATGATGTTCAAGTACCGCTTCGATCCTACCTCGGCCCGGCGCATGCCGAGCTTGGGTATACCTTGGTAGCGATCGCGTTCATAGTAATATATACCAATACGCAAGAACCAAGTTACTATTATCACCTCGTACGATCGTACAAAGGCTTACCCAGATACGCGCTGTGTCAAGAGCGACGTACTGCTAATACGAGGCTGAAGAAACTGTAATCGTCGCATGTGATTTGGCTCCGTTCGGGTACGGCACCTTCCCATGTAAAGGTAGGAAAGAGCAGGGAAGGCACACAAGTTGGAAAGAGCGGAAGAACACCGACGTGGTCAGAGCAGTCGCACACCTTGCTGACCCAAACACCGCTTCCACTCCACTCACAGTCACAGTCACCACACTTCAGCACACCACCACATCGTTATTGCGCTATCTTCATATCCTCACCATCACATCGCCAAAGTCCAGATACTATCGCTATGGATACTTCCGCATACCAGGCTCCGCCCATACCAACTCTCAGGGCGCGGTCGTTTTCCTGCCCCATAGGCTATGGAAAAGCATGTGCGAGGAGATTGCCGGGCGTCTAGGCGGGGTTCGCGCATGATATGTTCCCGGACACACACAAGGAAGCGACACCCAAAGAGCCTGTACGAAGCGATTCGCCGCAAGGGCCTCCATCACCAAAGCTCGCCGACGGACCCACGACGGTTGACACACCAACGTCGGTTGACTCACCCACGATCGATCCAAACGCAATACACCCAAAGAGGCTAAGGTCGATTCTGACAAAAAGGTTCATGAAGAAACGTTACGAGGCGGGTCCCAAAGATCTGGCACCTCTGCACATTGGCCGACATCCAATCCCGTGGAGTATGCCCAACGAAGAAGATCTTCGTATGATCTTTGTCCCAGAACTTGTCGAATGGATACAATCGTCAGACTACGAGGGTCACGCCCGCGATCGCTGCTTTTGCTCCCTCGTTCTGCACATCTTGAGCAAACGTCTACCAGACGACGTCATCCACAACGACCCCATCGACCGCGATGACTTTCGGGGCAGACTTGGCGAGCTCTTCTCGGACGACGGAATGCCTCTCGACCACCTCCTTGATCACTGTGCGAATGGGTACAACATTCAGAAGGTCAGGAAGGTACACAAGCGGCCAATGACGCATAACACTTAGACGGAGTATGTCGGCATGTTGTGCGAGGGTATCATCTTGATGAACGAGGAGCCCTCCTCGCCTCCGAAAGACAGCCCTTCCACGCCACCGGAAGAAGATCCTTCCACGCCGCCAAACGATGACACGCCCAGGGCAAGTAAGGGAAAACAACCGAGAGCGGCGTCAGCTTCACCAGAGCCTTTTAGAGGGCGTGCGCTTACGTATGAGCCTGACGAGCGGGTGATCTACCGGCCTGCATCAATGGATGATTGGAGGCGGTGTTTGCGTTAGCAGTATTGCTGTTGTCTAGTAGGCACACTTCGAGTCGAAAGCACTTTCACTTTCACTGGGACGGAACTGGAGATACTCCCAATTTCATCTCTTGATCTCTTGATCGCTTGCTGCAGACTTCTACCATGATCCGCTGAGCCAAAACCCAAGAACCACTGTCACCACCCGTTCATCTAATAGCCTCCACCTCGATGACCCCAGTGATCCCGTCGCGGGTCGTAGCCATAGCCATACCCTCCGTTACCTTGACCATATCCTGGAGAGCCCTGCCCCCGATTGTCTTGATAGCCCTCGAACTCATTTCCTTGGTTCTCAGGGCGGCGAGGCGGTAGGCGAGGATTTCGTCGAGGAGGCGCATTGCCATATCCAGGTTGTCCAGGGTACGCACCAGGATCTTGCAGCCCCGCGCGTCTAAACTGGTGTCTAAGTCCTTCCATAACGTTGGTGTAGGCTCCGTCAGCCGCGTTCGTCCATCCTTGCGCTGCGGTCTGCCATTCCTGCATCTCCCTCTGGCGCTCGATTCGTCTCCTTGCGCGGTACGCTTCGTCTTCGTCGTTCACGGCCATGCCTCTGCTTGCTTCACCATATCCTCTACCGTTTGTGCTGACGTTTCGTCCATCCGTCATACCATGTCCTCGATGAGCCGAACCTGGACCAGCTCCTCCGAAACCATCCCTCCCCGTTTGCTCCATCTGCCCCTGTAGCTGTCTTGCCATCGCCTCATCCCTCCCCGTATCCAGCTCCACCGGAAGACTCTCCTGCAGCCTCCTCGCAACTTCTTCATCTCGGCTCGTGTCCATGATGACACGCCGAGGTATGGAGACTTGGCCGTCGTAGTTATCGAAGAAACGTTGCATGAAAGCTGCTTTGTCCTTTTCGTTGCGCACTTGGAGGAAGGCGCGGTGGAAGGTTGCTTGCGCGGCGGGTGTGGGGAAGTCGAAGCGGAGGATGGGGGCGGTGAGATCGAAGTTTTGGAGGGTGTGAGGGGAGGATGTTATTAGGCCTTGTGGTTGGGGTGTGTTGGTTGCGTTGCTCATTTTCGGATTCTTGAGTTGTTATGCGTATGATATTGTTGTCAGTGTGTGGTTGAGCCTTCTTAAATCTGCTCGCTGTGTATTGAGGGATATTATAGAAGAATGATTCTATAGACCGGATGACGCGAAGGAGATGTACAGCAACACCTGTGACGATGCAGCGAGTGAAATGTCACGTCAGCTGGCATGCTGTGTGACTACAGTGTCGAAGGTTTGCCTCCTACCTACGTCGACATGTGCGCAGCTTTCACGCCTTCAATATTTCGACTTAAGCTATGATAACATGGGGATCAGCTACTTCATCATCGAAATTTTGCAACGTAACGTCGTTCCCTAGGCTCTACAGTGCGATACAAATGAGCATTCAATTGGCACTAGAGCTATTCAGAGTAGACGATCCTTCTTCGAACAACCTAAATGATCTCGACTACACTCTTCTCGCTCGGAAAAAGGTTGTCGATGTTCTCCGCGTATCTGTTTAGACCACAGCCCTCCCATGTCATACCAACACGTACAAATACGTCCTTTCCCGACTCCAAACGCCGAAGTACAAGCGCGGTCCGGTACGAAGACGAGACAGAGAAGAAAATGCATGTCAGATCTGAGTCTTCAAGCGGAGTACCGGGCGCATGAGCGCTAACATCCGAAGTATCCCACCGGACCAAACGATCGCTGCGATTTGGGAAGGTGATATAATCGCGGTCTCTGCCACTACCTTTAGAGTGTGCCTTGCCCCATACAACCGGCGTACAGCGTCCGAGTAGCCGAAGCATGCCTGATCGAAGTTCCCCGTATAGGTCTGTAGCTTTAGGTTCCACATAACAATCGAGTATTTTCGCAAATGAAGTTTCTGACTCTGAACCCATATAGGAACTGTCATAGGCACCAGAATCCATATATTCGATAGAAGTATCCACCGCAGCCCAGGACCACGACGGGGCTCTCCAAGTAGGTCGTGGTGCCAGTTTAGAACGAAGACGGGGTCGTGTTGCCCGCCACTGGAGTTGCTCACGAAGATTGCTTCTCCACAATCCAGCAATGTATCTGTCATCAGGCTTCGCGAATCTCTTTGCCAATCCCGCAATGGCCACTAGCTTATCGCCAGAATAAGTCAACTGGCGATGGCTGTATTGCGACACAATGGTCTTCCAAACTTCCCGATATTCCGGCAACGGCAGGTCTGTGCGCATGGATGTCTTGGGCGCTTGCGTAAATGAATTCCAAGCCATATCTGTAACACCGCTACACTCGCATTCGTATCCACGCATACACTCAAAAGCTAGTTCGCTATATGTGTAGTGTAAGACGCGGGTTGACAGTAGGCGTTCTTGCAAACCCCAAGCCCGCTTGTTCAGTGGGAACTTGTCCGAGGGCCTTGCAGAAGAAAGTGGATCCGAGAATTCATCCATGTGTGAGCGTTTTTCGCAGAAGATCAATGTAGCTGCCTTGATCCTTCCGGACCGAAGCTCAACTTCATACTCGGTATAGCTTCGGAATAGACCCTCTTCGCCAGATCTTGAAGCTGTTGCTGAGATGGTGACGAATGCGTTGTGATACACTGTGGACATTTTAGATGCTTCGTGTGCCCAGTCATCATGATCATCTTGTACGATACAAAGCGAATCGATCTGCGATCCCGCCATACATAGTTAACGATCTGTTATGTAGCGGGCGGAGGTTGGTGATCTTACCCAAAGATATCGTAAACCCAACTCTCGAACTACCTGAACCGCTTCTTTAAAGTTCTTTGATAAACTCGCAACAGGTATGCCATCGTATCTTTCCAGAAGGGTAGCTTTCGTGGTAGTGAAATGCGTTGTGGTACCCCAGCAATGACTGAGAGCAGCATATCGTCCACTTTGGCCGGAGGTTTCTACTAGCCTGATCATGCCGACGTCTTCAGATGACCGAAGGTCAAGTAATCGTGTCGGTAGGTCTTGATTACCATTGGCACCACATACCGTGTGGTTCTCTACACAGTTTTCCAACAATCTGTTCGCTTTCTGGAATGCCGCTGTGGACCCTGTGTGCTGAGTCGTAGGATGAACCTGTTGTAAGTCTTTCCAGGGTCCAGGAATCGGTTGCCCTAATTGACTTTAGTCATGTACACCCACTGGGTTGCGCAGGAACTCACCATCATCAACAGCACAGATCTTGAGATGTATACCGGTCGAAGGAAATATCAAACGGACGGAGTAACCACGGTCATGTGCTCCATCCACAAAACGAGTGCTAGGATTGACTTTACTGAAGTCGTATACGTTGGGATCGTACCACCTCGTTCCGTTTTGCTGGCCTTGTTCGGGAGAATATGCGAAATCTATGACAAGGATGTCGGGTGTCCAGTCGTGCTTCCCATCTTTGTCCAGCCAGCCACGACAGCCTTGTATGATCGCATCACAGAAGATGCAAGTATGCGCCGAAGCAACAACAGCGTCCCAAGTATATTCCTCGAAAATCCAGTAGCCACGTAAGCTTAAAAATGAGTGACACACGCGGCATCGCCCAAAGACTGGTATGGTCGAGGCCGTCGGTGTGATGTCTTTGACGTCAAGTGGGGCAGGCCGCGATGAAGAAGGCGCGTCTTCCATCCGTGCGGTAATGCGTCGCGCGACCACGTTCGAGGGACAGCGTTTGAAGGATTGAGAATACAGGCTGTGTAGAGCGTGCAGTACGATGCTAGCGAGAGTATACCTGTATGCCATAACATGGAAGCATGATATGCTACAGGCACTGTGCCACAGGCATGCAGCTGCGACAACGGATCACCGTCATGCATCCGAAGGAAGTCGGAACATCAACACGGCACCCACATTGATGATAGGTTTCTACGTGTGCTTTCTAGCAACTTTTCATTTGAGCGTCTACGGGATGCATGATAAGCTCTAGACTATCACAAGTGCTCAAGCAGCTTCGGGTGATCACGTGGCAACTACCGTCCCGGGTGAGCGAGGTCTCTTTCAAGATTCATACGTTCACCCATCATATGACCAACATATCCACATCGCGCCCAAATTCTTTCGATTCACTCTGTCATTTCTGTATATGGGAATACGACTGCCGTCGCAAAGCCATCTTGCGACCCAACCTCTACTGGTCAACATCCAATTATCGGCGACTTTTGTCATCCCTCTCGCGCTCCCGCACCGCAGCTTTACTATAATACTCCAGCATCGCCAACGTCTCAGCGCGATTTCTGCGAATATGTTCGCGAAGCTCTTCTGCAGTCATGCGAGCTCGAACCGGTCTAAGCGCTACCGGCTCGTCGCCACCACCACCCCGTAGATTAACCTTAACATGCTGCCACTCTCGCTCTTCCGCATCAGACACATCTTCCCAAGAAGAATTACGACTGCGATCTACTAACACAAAGGTATGTTCGTCTGGAGATGGTTGTTCTTCTTCTTCAGCGTCAGGTAATCTGAAATCATCTGGAATCCAAGGGTCTTCATGCGACGCGACGATTTCGGGGATGTCTGGTTCTTGCATCGGGACTACCTCGCTAGGCTCGAAGTCTTGGTATTGCGACCTTCGGTTCCTCAGCTGACGAATGTATTCGCGGTGGATGAGATCGTCTTCGTTGATCCGACGTCTTTCAGCTCTTGAGCTGCGACGTGGGTCTGGCATATACACCCCATGTTCGAAGGGTAGAGGAGAGGTTGGCCGCATGATCTGGCGTCTTTGTACTCGCGGATTTGGCGTATCTAGGAAGTGAAGCGCAGGACCGATAACATGCTCCAGCCGTTCGCGTGAAGCTCTGGTGTCGTTGTAGATCGGAAGAGGGTTGGCATGCGCTCTTGGTCTCGGCTTCTCAGTCATGACGAAGTAGAATGAGATCAAAAGAGGTACGACGACAGGTAGGGTGAGCAGTAGTAAGTCGAGCAAAGATTGGTCTTCGAAGTAATGGATAGCCATGATCGCAGCAGAAAAAGCAGTAGGCAGAAGCGATCATCCTGGAGTGTACATATAGTGCCGACAAGTCGTTCATTTCATGTTTGCTGGGCTGGACTAGCACTTTCCCATAGCACGAAGAGGATTCTTCGTTCGTATGCGTTTGCTACTCGTTATTAGTGCTAGTTCGAACGAGAAGGGTTTGGAGATTGTCTACCGGGTCGAACGCTGCAGACAGGCAGGATTATGAAGGAGTATGTCGTCGCTTGCTGCCTCCGCGTGTTGGTACTGAATGCAGTGGATGCTCTAACGATATCACTCAGTAGACCTCGGGCTGCAACAAAGCTCAAGAGATACACAGTCTTCGATACTACGCTTGCGCTATGTATAGACCAGTGCGAACATCAACTCAACACAATGGACAATGACGCAATTCAAGCATTGAGTCCACGCCACGATCAATAACCCAATCCACCCATCTACTTCTCATCCATATCCAACCCACTCATCTCCTCACTCAACCCACTGATGTCGCCCAGGCTCAAATCCTCCGCTTCGCTATCCCCCAGAAAAATGCGTTCAAAGTTCATATCGCCCACATCGCTGACGGGCGTGGGATCCGTCATCCTGCGTTGAGCAGCCGCCTCGAATTCGCGATAGTTCTTCTGGATCTCGTCTTGAGAAAGCTCGTTCGAATGACGGTGCCGCTTTGCGCTATCACCATGACCGCACTGCTGAGCACCGAGACCGCTGGCATTGGTGGCAGAGTTTGAAGAAATACTGCCGCTCTCTTCAGATTCGCTGGTGAGACAGATTGGCGAAGGTGATCGGAGGAGGAATGAGTCGTGTTGTTCCATGGGAGGCGTAGGAGGTAGAGCGACTATCTTTCCTTTCTCATTATGAGACTTCTGCTGGTCTTCATCCTGTGGCTGCGGTAACCTGGTGGTAGATACTGTTGGAGCTGTGGGGCTTGACAGGCCCACTGCTTCCCTTAAACGACGCACAATATCCTCACTATGCCGCAACACATCACAATCGTTGCCGTTCACAGGTTGACCGAGTGGGCCGAGTTGTTTGCGCATAGCGGCAAATGCGTCCTGTGCAATGGCAGCCCACTTCTTCTGCAGCTCGATAACCTCGGTAGACGTAGATGCCGTGAGCATGTGGAGATGGCCGAAGGACTCCACCTTTTGACGCTTTAGACAAGTGTCTGGATCGTAGTCCGCCGGCTTCAAAGTCGATGCTCCGTCCAGGCTTGTGGAGCGCAATGGGGCCTTTCGTTTCCTGGGCGACTCGGCTGGCAGATCAGGATCAGACAGCACGGATGCGTCCGCGATCGATGTGGCTGAAATGTCCGCTTCGTCATCGAGGCTCTTATCAGACTGTCGTCTAAAGTATGCAAATGCTTCATTCCAAGATTCATGCAGAGACGGAATACGTGCTTTACTGGGGCGAGTCTTGGACAGTGGCGTACTAGTGTACGATGGAACCCAGGGCGTCGACGGTTCCTCCTGCTGTGGTATGTAGTCGTCTGGCGTTGCAACGACTTGATATATGTCCATAACTTCGCCCTTGACCGCATGACGCAATACACGATCGTAGCGTACGTGACCTGGAAATTGCGTGACCATCTTGGCTTGAACGATTGTCTCAGACACTGTCTGTGTGTCACCCTAGCCATGCTGTAAGTAATAGTCTAGCAAACAACTGCAATTGCGTTCCAGTGAGAAAGGGAGGCACTGGACAGGTCTGCAACCGTTTTCAAGAAGAAAAAGCGCAAAGTGGGTAACATAACGTGAGGGGAGACTCATGGGTATCGTACCTTCGTTTTGTATTCCTTCACTTCGCACACAACATCCTCGGGGAAGTGTTCGTAGCTTGAAGATCCTGATTCGCTAAAGATGCGTTCAAAGTAGAGAACAAAGGCGTTCCGGTCTTTCGGGCCAAAGGGCATACGCCAGAGCTTGACATTGGGTGGCTGCGAGACGACGGCGGCGTAGATCATGAGCACAGGCATTGTTTCCCAGGCAATGTCGACATCGACCGATATGTATAGCCCGTCTGAGAAGCGGAGCAGGTAATCCTGCGTCATGATGTAATTATACACGAAGTTTGGTAGGTCGCCAGACCTGAACGACCATCTGGTATTTGTAGGGACGGCCCGAAAATCATCGTAGAAAGCGTCGATCATGTCGTGGATGAGTTCAGGAAGATCAATTCGAACAAGACGCTTGTGCTTGGCGGGCATGATCTGTTTCAAGCAAGGCCAGAGCTCGTCCTCGGCAATATGATCTGCAACGTTGGTCAGCATAGAAGCATGCACAGTAGGTGATCCAGCGTTGACGTAGGCTCCAGGGTGTTCAGATTGTTCATTGTATGAGTTCCTACGGCAACGCGATGTCTGTAACAGTCTGGAAATTTAAAGTGCAGAATGGGTATCGTACCTCGTAATGCGCCAAGTTCAGCAACAATGTTTCGCCTCATGTGACTCTCGAATTGTGGGACCAGACATTGCTCAAAGACGCGCTCCCATATCGTGAGCTCGACAGCTTGGGCAGTTGATATGCCTTTCCAGCACATGACCACGTCGAGGTAATCGACGTCCGTCGCTGTTGGGCATTAGCAAAGTACCACAACATGCTCGAACGTATCGGTCCTACCTTCCTGCTCGAACCCTGATCTCCTCCTGCGAGGACAGTGCATGTTCTGTGGCGGGCAATCCTTGTGAAAGCCATGACCATACAAATCGGTATCGAAAGCTAAATTAGCTATGAGGCTTTCCAAGTGCTGGCGTTCCGCATTGTCGGATAAGACGGGATTGACTACGGGTGATGGATGGGCATGGCCAGTAGCGCCAACACCGGTGCGTAGCGATGGCTGGGAGATTTTAAGTAAAGTCCGCAAGCAGGGTCGAGTGTACTCACGAGAAGTTCTACAGACATGCTGTCGTGAGAGATGCTCGTAAAGAATACGTCGTCGTGATGATTGGGCGGTGTCTGGATGTAATGCTAATGTCGTTGTCAGACAGAAGGTCGCAATCCAGGCAAATGCCTTCGTTGGTGATGAGAAGGCACTCGTGAGCGACTGCCGCGGTACTGTGTTGTGACTGAGCAGCGTGAAGATTGCGCTTGCCTCACGACAACGCGGGACACCCGCAAGATTCTCCCTGGGTGCACCATCTAAATGGCGTCCATTGAGGCTCGTGTAGTGAGTCGTTCATTTTTGTTGCCAAGCTTCGAGATTTGAAGGAAAGCATCGACGCCATAGCCTTCCAGGCTGTGGATTTCGAGACTGCCAGCCCAGTATTCTGTAAGATTGTTAGCTGCGCAGCCCCGCCATTGTCATGAAATACCTACCAGCATATAGTCGCGACATAGGAAGTCCAATACCAAGACGCAGGTCTGGTGCGCGGCTGGTCAAGGAAGACAGCGAGCCGTGATACAGCCCCGAATCGCCGTGCTTGGACCTCCTATCTAGACGTTGTTGCACCTGTGCTGCAGATTCACCTCCAGGCACCTGCAGCTCCTGCAATGTTCCCAGTAGTTTTGGTACCCTCGCCAGATTTCGCAGCCTTTTCTCACGCCTAGGACCCTTGCTGAAGCTCCACAGGTATGGCAAGACTTCGTTCGGGATGCCACCACCTTGATCAGAAATTCGGATAATAACGTGCTGCGAGGTTTCGCAGATCAATACCTCAATAGGCGGCAGCTTGGCGTCTTTCGACTTACGCTCCTCGATGACAGCTTGGATAGAGTTGCGTAAGAGCTCGCCAATAATATACTCGAGATGACTCAGGATGTACGGGAACGTCGCGTCAAGGTGACCGTAGACCTTGATCTCAGGAATTTCGACATGTGGGCCCTGAGCGGTCCTGATGAGCTCCTGCATCGTCTTGCCGCAATTCTCGACTATCTCCTTCGCATTGCAACGCAAAAATATCTCGCCGACTGCCTCTTGGTCGTGGGGATGAACTTCGGCCTGCGGGAAATGCCATGGCGAATCGAAAGTCTCGGTCAGTGCTAGATGTTGTTCCGCAATGACGCGTCGCGAGATGCGCTGAATCAATTAGCATTGCCCGACGCTGTGCATGGACGGAGAGCATACCGATCGCAACATGGTGGTCATGAACTTGTCCGTCTCCTCAGCCTTCATCAGGCCCCGAACTTCGAGAACACCAATGGCGAGGCGGGGTATGACAGTGGCATGCTCGGTCAACGTCTCTTCCAGCACCTTGCAGTACTTCTCGTTATCTTCCAGCGATTTTATCTCAGGTACGCGGCGGAAGCGTTCGAAAGCGCGTAGATACGACTCGTATACATGAGCTAGATGAGGGTTCGCGACGACAACGTATGGTAGGGTCTGAATATCACGCAATCGGTGCGCAAGTCTACACGTGTTCAGCACTTATATTTCCGCTTGTCAGATACTAAGATCACACCTCGTGGGAAGCTCCAGACGGCAGTAGTTAGCCGAGTCGATGAGACGAGACTCTGTCAAAGTTCTTCCAAAGAAAGTCAACTGGCGCAGACTTATGGGTCTGGCTTCACGCTGCACCCATCTAGTCACATGTCAGCTGTGGAAGTTGGCAGGAGCATATCTTATGTGCTCACTCGTCCAAGGCCGAAGACGGTCTCCACGCGGGCGCGACGGCTGCGGCATGTGGATGTCGAATTTGTACTCTAGAGACAGGCGATGCTGAAGGTGCTCTACGCAAGATACCAGAGCGTCGCGCGCACGACGCGAGACTGCGTGCTCCTATACTCATAATTGTTGGTGCGAGAGCGCACATGTGGAGGAGCTCGCTCACGGAGCGGTAGCAAAATACGGGGCATGCGACGGCGGGCTCCGCTAACCGGCGTAACTTTTGGGAATTTCACTCACAGCCTCTAATTAACGGTCGCAAAAGCAGAGGGGCGCGCATTTCACGGCACCGCCAGTCATATCACGTACAAAGGCAAACATGCTGGGTGAGCGTTTGTAGCTCGAAATATGCGCGTGGCATGCCGCTTGCCAGTATGTGATGTTGGACGAATGACGTCGTAGGCCGCGGCTTTGCTTTGACGCACTCCACTGTATCGAGCGCCAAGGCTGCATCCGTCGAAAGAGAGCTGCTGTTCTGAGCCTCGAGAGCTGCTCCCCAGCTTTTGTCTTTGTGCGCCCTCGTTGTCCACCTCGCCCTTGCACATGCTTGATGTTGGAGTTTTCCAGACGACAATAATCCGATCGTCATATCTCCACTGCCGCCACCTTTAGCGAGGAACCTATCCTTACCCGCATCCCGCCCGCGCAAGTGCTGCCCACCCGTACCTTCCTTTCTCTAGGCGACAGGCGCGCAGCTTCCCTTTTCACCTTGTAGTGTCGAGCGCACCCAGTCGTGACTGCCCCCGCGACCCGTCTCTGCAGCTCTTTCCTGCCATCTGCCCCCGCTTCCATCCGCACCTGCCGGAAAGACGACGCCGCCATGGATCAGGTAAGCTTGCGCCTTCGCCAGCATCTCGCCAGACGCGGCCACGCTGACCCACTCACCCACGCAGATCGAAAGCGACATGCTCGTGGACCACGAGTACGACGAGAAGGCCGACGTGGCCATAATCACGCCCGACACAGACGACCAAATGGACGAGGTCGACGCCGAACCCGAGCCCCGCGCCGACGAGTACGATGCCTTTATGAAGAGACACATGCCCAAGAACCCGGAGTACGAGACCGAGGCCGAAGTATACAACACATGGGAGATCAGGGACTGGCGCCAACTCACACGACGTGAACATGGCCCTATCTTTGAGTGCGGCGGTCATCCCTGGCGGATACTATTTTTCCCGTACGGTAACAACGTCGACTTTGCGTCCTTCTACCTGGAACAGGCCTATGAAGAAAAGCAAATGCCAGAGGATTGGTATGCCTGTGTCGAGTTCATGCTTGTACTCTGGAACCCCAAGGACCCTACCATATTCACCACACACACCGCACACCACCGCTTCACTGCCGACGAAGGCGACTGGGGCTTCACACGCTTTGCAGAGCTCAGAAAACTCTTCAGCAACTCCTGGGAAGACCGGGGACGGCCAATGGTAGAAGACAATGCGGCCAATGTAACTGCATACATAAGAGTGCTCAAAGACCCCACGGGAGTGTTATGGCACAACTTCATCAAGTGAGTTTCACGGATGCACAGTTTTGACGACGATGTTTTCTGACTTGTACAGCTACGACTCCAAGAAAGAGACCGGCATGGTCGGCTTGAAGAACCAGGGCGCAACATGCTATCTGAACTCGCTCTTACAGTCACTTTTCTTTACCAATGCGTTCCGCCAGGTATGATGCCAATGTCACCACACAGAACGACAGCTGACTCCGCCAGGCTGTTTACCAGATCCCGACTGCCGAGGAAGCCGATCGTTCGAATAGCGCCTACGCCCTACAACGACTCTTCTACCTTCTCCAGACATCAAACAACGCCGTAGGAACCACAGAGCTGACACATTCGTTTGGTTGGGACTCGAAGCAGATTTTCGAACAGCAGGACGTACAGGAGTTGTCCCGTGTGCTCATGGACAAGCTCGATGAGAGGATGAAGGGCACTGAAGCCGAGGGTGCCTTGACCAACATGTTTGTTGGTAAGATGAAGACCTACATATCATGTATCAACGTCGATTACGAATCGTCCCGGGTTGAGGATTTCTGGGACATACAATTGAACGTAAGCGGGAACAAGAACCTGGACGACAGCTTCAAAGACTACGTGCAGGTCGAGACCATGGACGGCGAAAATAAGTATTTTGCAGAGGGTTTTGGGTTGCAAGACGCTAAAAAGGGTGTCATCTTCGAAAGTTTTCCGCCAGTGCTACATCTCCAGCTGAAGCGCTTCGAATACGACTTTACGCGCGACGCCATGATGAAGGTGAACGACCGTTACGAATTCCCCGAAGTGTGGGACGCTGCGCCATATCTCTCCGACGGAGCCGATCGATCCGAATCCTGGATATACCACCTCCACGGCGTCTTGGTTCACAGCGGTGATCTCAACGCTGGTCACTATTACGCCTTCCTGAAGCCAACGAAAGACGGCCACTATTACAAATTCGACGACGACCGTGTGACTCGAGCGACACTACGTGAGGCGCTGGAAGAAAACTTTGGTGGTGACTACGCCCAGGCCAACGGGAACACTGGCCAACGCAATCCCTACACCAGAGCCTGGTCCGCAAAACGCTCAATGAGCGCCTACATGTTGGTATACATTAGGGAGACGAGGCTTGATCAAGTTCTTATAGACAGCAAGGCGGTAGAACCACCGAAGCATCTGGCAGAACGACTGGCTGAAGAACGGGCATTGTTTGAGCGCAGGAAGAAGGAACGCGAGGAAGCTCATCTCTACATGGACGTTGCGGTCGCGTCAGATGAACAGTTCAAGGCCCACCAAGGTTTTGACATCGTTCCATGGAAAGCCGACGCAGACACACCTGCTAGCCCAAGGGTCTACCGTGTGCTCCGAAGCACAACTATGGCCGACTTTGCGGTTACGGTCGCCCAAGATCTAGGAACCGAAGCCGATATGTTGCGGCCATGGTCGATGGTTAATAGACAAAACGGCACAATTCGCCCCGATACCGCATTGGAATTCCCGGAGATGACCGTCGAAGAGGCTGCAAGCAAACATGGCACGAAACAGTCGCAGTTCAGGATGTGGATCGAGAAAGCTCAAGAACGCGACGAAAGCGGCGCGCCAGTGTTTGGCGAGAAGCTAGTGGACCTCAAGGGTCAGGCTAACAACCGCCCATTGATGATCTTTTTGAAGCACTTCGACGCAGAAGAGCAAAGTCTATTCGGTGTTGGCACCTTCTACGCCGGATTCCAGGACAAGGTTTCCGATCTAACTCCAGCAATCACAAAGATGCTGGGCTGGCCAGCAGGTACGCAGATCAAGCTTTCTGAGGAGATCAAACAGAATATGATCGAAGCGATGAAGCCAAAAGTCACACTGGCAGCTTCGGAGATACAAGATGGTGACATCATCACGGTCCAGCGCGTACTGAGCGACAAGGAAACCGCACAGATAACCACTGCGGGAGGCTACACCGAGGCAAAGGAATTCTACGACTACCTCTTGAACAGAGTCAGCATCGAGTTCGTGCCTAAGCTGCCTGATACAGATCTACCCACATTCTCCTTGACTCTCAGCAAAAAGATGGCGTACGACCAGTTCTCCAGCAAGGTGGCTGAGTACCTCAAAACCGACTCTAGCTATATCCGCTTCTCGACGGTTAGCACTGCTGGCAAGCCTAAAAACCCTGTCAAGTACAACCCCACGTCAACTTTGAACAACATCCTCTTCCCTGGCCCATACAACTATTCGGCAAGCTCAAATCAGCGAAACGATGCCCTGTTCTACGAGGTCTTGGATATGAGTCTGAAGGAATTAGAGCTGAGGAAACCTGTAAAGGTGGTGTGGCTCCCTGAGGGTCTCAGCAAAGAGGTGAGTTGAACACAGTGATTGCTTTTGCTTCAAACTAACGTCATACAGGAGGAGCACGTTTTGATGGTACCCAAGAATGCCCAAGTTGCGGATCTCGTTGAAGCGCTGCAAAAGAAAGCGGGCATCAGCGACGAGGTGATGCAAAAGGTGCGGGTCTACGAGGCACATGTGAACAAGTTCCACAGGGTCCTCCCGCCAGATCACTCAGTCATGAGCCTCTACGACTACACGTCAATCTTTGCTGCGCCTTACCCCGAAGACGATGCATCGAAGAAGATTTCGGTGTTCCACTTTGACAGGGAGCCATCGAAGGCACATGGTATCCCGTTCCAGTTTGCGCTGAAAGAGGTACGTGTAGCCACAAGCCTACCTCCTCTACTTGCACTAACATACATCAGGGCGAGCCTTTTAGCGAAACAAAACAGCGACTCTCAGACTTCACCAAGATCAAGGGCAAGCAATTGGACAAGATCAAGTTTTCTCTTGTCGGCAAGGGTCAATACGCGAAGCCTGAGCCAATCGATGACGGTAAGCCACTTTGGCAATGGTGATATTGCAGCACTGATGAAGTCACAGATGAAGTACTTTGGGACTTGGTAGGTGCGCGTGACGATGTATCACTTGGTCTTGAACACCCCGCCAAGACAAAGACGCTTTGGGGAAAGACTGATTCCATCTTCATTCGTTGAAGCAGCGCAATGACTGTGTAAGATACGAAGAAAAGCACGGTGCGTAACATTACTCGGCACGGGTACGATCGGCATGAGATTGTCCGCAAAGTTTTGCCAGCGTTTCACAGGGAGTGGCAATAAAGCGTTGGTTGCGCACCCTTCAACATACATGGCGCAATGGAGCTTGAAATATTGCAAGTATTGCATAGGCGGAGTAGCGTGCGTGGGAGGTTGGCGCAGGCGTTGGGCACATGATTATGGCGTATCATTTTGGATCAGTAAGTAAGCAGTGTAGATTAGCCCAAAGATATCATCATTCTGCTTTCATGTCACCAGTGTAACTTGCACTGTGGTTGTCGACTGAATTTTCCACCCATCCCATGGTACCAGACACTAGCCACCTATCCGGGAAGGAACAACGTAACAATATACCACGGCTTTCGATTCTGAAAATAAATACAAAAACTATTAGCAGTCGCAATAGGTTCATATGAACGCGCAACATGATAAGTGTGACTTGACTACGCGTCGAGGATCTGCATTTCGCGCTACCTGTCCGCGGTCGCCTTGATCTTCATTGGCTGGTGGCTAGTTCCCCGCGCCTTCCCTCCCTGCATGCGTTGCGTCGGCAAAAACTACCGCCGACGTTCGATGTCGACAGCTGTAACTTCCAGCACACGAGCACGCATCAACAAACGCAGTCGTCCACGCCAACGAACGCGATGCGGTCACTACTCACCCTCTTCAGCGCGTTGCTGGCATATACCACGGCTGTGTACGCAACCGCTCTCACCTACCGATTAGAAGCACACGAGAAAGCATGCTTCTTCGCGACCGTTGAGAACAAGGGGACCA